AGGCACAATAGGGCAGCGGCGTAGTAAAATCACCTTCTACTTATCCTTCATCTGTACGAATTATACGTCGAGCAAATGAGACAATTATATTAGGTCATTCCGAAAGTAATTTCGCTTTTTTCAAATTAACGCCACATTTGAAGGAGCAAGGCTTTTTGAGAGATCTTGGTGGCTTCGATGCAGAAATTCATCCTGTTTCTAATGCTTATGAAATCCCTGCAGCAAAGTCAATGGGCTCTCTGAGAATCCCCAGAATCTGCGACCGATGCTTTTTGCTATGGTCAATTTCGGCAATTTTTCATAATCTTTGTATCAATCCTCTGAAGGATCCCAAGTTGCGAGTGGATAAAGCAAAGTCAATAGGATACAAAGCAATTTTTCTTTCCTTTCCATAGCTCGTCATGTTTTTTAATAGAATTTTAGTTGATGCTACCAATTTCCATTCTTGGTCAACTCAAACCACGTAGAACATCAAACGTGGGCAGCTTGGAAGTCATTCGATGCAGCTCCCTCCCCTCTTTCTAACGGGTGTTATTTGTTTCCGATTCGTTCAGTCTTCGGGTTTAAAACGTCATAAATCATGTTTTTGAACGCCCCAAGACTGTACCCGGGGAACTCGAAATTATTTCAAATTCATAAACTCTCATTTGCTTTGTAGAACCAACGTTAAGTCATATACCATTTTGGAAGTTTCAAATTTCGAATACTTACTGGTGTCTGATGCGATTGTGGTTGACGTAGGCCTGCCAAAATCCGATGGTTTTGGTAAAAAATCTTTTAAAAAATTACGGCAAACTGTGAGACTCGTACTGTATCCTATGGGTTACTTAATCTCCTTCTGAGGGTTGATATGAAAGTTTTAAAAAATTGTGAAACTTGAGCATCTCAAAAAGCATGGATCGCAGACTTTTGCAATTTTCCAAAAGCTTATTGACTATACTGCAACAATTTTATAATTATTAGAATGAGGGTGAAATGCTGCATCGAATGCCACTAAGATCTCTCAGAAATCTATGTTCCATCAAATCAGGCGCCCCTTTGAAAAAAGCGAAATTACTTTCGGAGTGACCTAATAATAAAATTCGACCGTATTGTTTATTTTTTTTTGAGAAGAGTAGAATTTGTACAAACAACTTTCATCTTTATTCATATTAATCTTTATTGCGTTGATACGTTCTTGCGTCTCCCTGCTTGAATTTCAACAGACTTTGCGAAGGCCATTGACTTTTCAATTATATTGCATCTTTGAAGGATGAAAAAGGATTACTTGAATATGAATCCAAGAAGAGGACTAGTTTAGAATCAACGTCTCAGTTGGCTTAAACTTAACTCTATTCTTATAAACTCCTCAAGCCATGTTGAGAGAGTAAACCGGTTAATGAACACAATCGCAAATAATGGTGAAAGAAGTTCTATTCAGAAAAGTCTGTAAGAAGTGAGCAGATTTTGCTGTGGAGGATAACTTTTCTAACACCTTCTCTAATGATACCATGACCAAGAAAATCGTGAAAAAATTCTGCAAATTGTTTCTCAGCTTTCCATATCAATTTCTGAACGCTCATAAAAAAGAGCTTTCAAAAATTTGGACTTTTCTGATATTTCCACTTTGTGCCTTGAGACGCTAGAGGCATCAGACTGCCGCTATAAAATAGATTTCGAAAGATTTCTTCAGGTTCACTCGATCAGCCATACGCTGATAAGCAGATTTGAGATCTAAAAATTCTTTCTGAAACTTGTCAGAATCAGAAAAGTGCAGCAGCTGAAGTACATAGGAGAGGAGCAAATGTATGGAAAATAGTCGTGGAGTTAGGGTGGTCAGAAAAAAATTATGGTCGATAGCGCAGATAGAAAGAGAAAATCTTTGCAAAAGTACTTCGTGTTTTTCAGCTCAGTATTCTTGAGAATTAGGAAATATACCGAATAAATCAGTAGGAGTCACAAATTCAAAAACAGAAATACATAATCAGTGTGCTCACTAATAGGAAAAACGTTTTCGCGTTTCCGTAGAGCTTTGCGAACTGTGCTAAACAAAGTGGGATTGCAATTACGTCAAGTTATAATGTTCAAGCCCTCATAAATGCAGATGCATGCTAAAATCCTTGAGTTTTGACGTCTCCTAGCGACAAGCTGCGATGCAATGCAGAATAGTACTTGGACAGTCAGGTTTTGCATTTTGACTTTTTTCTTCTACTGTTTATTCAATAAGTTGTCAAGAAAATAATGTCGCATTTTATTTGCTCTTGCTGTGGCGCTGTAACCAGGCAAATGCTAAGCGCAAGGAAGCGCATGAAGGATAGTATTTTTCGATAGACAAAACAAGCTCACCACCACATCAAGGCCGTTCCAGTGAAGCTATCAAAAGCCAAAAAGTCCAAATCCCCAAAAAATCGAGAAAAAAAACTAGGTCTCCTTCCAACAACTTTTTGTGGACTTCTCACACGGTCACATCTATACTATCGACATCAGACATTCATATACGTAATTGCTGTATTTTTCTTTGACTAGAAGCTGAGTCGAAATTTTCTATATTTTTCTTGAAGCAAAGTGCCGTTTTGACATAAATAATCCTATACTACAAGTCTTCGTGAATAGAAATACAGATTTTCAGCCTATTTGGAGCGCTGGTTTTGAGCGATTCCGATTTTAGCAGAAATTAAAATTACCATAAGAGAGAAAAACTGACATTTCTCGAAAATTAGCGCACGAGAAAGGCTAAAAAACTGCAGTCATACATAACAAGGTTTGATTTGTGTCAATGGCCTAGGATTGCTTTGAAAGACATGAAATTTTTTGATTTTTCAGTTTCTAGTCGAAGAAAAAATACATCTGTATATATAAATGTCTGATGTCGTTAGCATAGATGTGTGCAACTGAGAAGTCCGCAGAAAATTTCTTAACGGAGATTTCCAATCTTTTGGCAACTAAAACTTCTTAGACACTGTTTTTTAGTTTCACTCAGAACAATTTTAGAGTGGAAGCATTGATGCCAAATTGTAGAATTTATTTTGCTCTAGCATGTACCTTTCATGCGTTCTTCAATTTGCCTGGTTGCAGTACCCATGAAGCAAAACGACATTATTTTTTGACAACCTAATACTAATCTCACAAAAATTAATACCGGAACACGTAGAAAATAACGCTAATGCTCAAGCATAGACAATTTACGGCTCACGTAAAAACGGCTAAAGTGCAAATATCGCTCCAAGCTAATGACCATATCAATCAAGCGCTAAACGGTGTCTTGGCGCTCGCGCAAACAGTAAAAAAAATGCAAAGCAATTGGACTTAGCTTGTACCCATTTAGCAAAGTGTTTTACAAACCTGTTGATCTCTTAGCATCCCGGAGTTTCAATCGTTTCTCTCGTTTTTCACTTCTTTTGTACAAAAAGCAGCCGCGATACAGTATTTTCTTCCAGCGAGTGTATGTTAATGATAGAAGCAATTTTTTATGGTTCAAGGTGCAATGCGATACAGGACTCATTCGATTTGAGATGCACAGTCAAAAACTTTGAAACTTACAAAAATTTCATTCAAGCTAACAATGGTAAAATACATCAGTTTGGCTGAGATAAAATTTTGAGCTAGTTGCTGTAGAATCCAATAATCACGACCGAAATGGCACTGAATTGACCTTTTGTTCGGAGGCAGTTGCAAGCCTCTAGCATCTCATGTGAAATATCTCGAATTTTTTGTCGATAATAAACACCTATGTTTGAGCCAGCTTACTTTCCTAAAAGTTACTTGCGGGACTTTTTGACAGTATGACATTTTGTCAGGCTAGGATGTATACACAGGTTTCAAAGGTTCCCCAAGGACTTAGCAGATTTTGAAAAAGTTTGTGATTTGCATTTTAGGATTTTGTGTGACCCAAACGTATGAGTTCCCCAGCTCTGTGCGTAAGATATTTGATTTTCAATGAAGATCAGGGCTCGGCACGAGGTACCTTTTGGAAAATGCAAAAAACGAAACCCCCTTGACTTTCGTGATTTATGAAGACCGTTTTGACCCTAAACCATAAACGTAAAAAAGCCCCTCAAGAAGCGAAACGTCGACTAAGAAAAAGTCACAATTTTGCGTCTTTTCGGCCTCAAACGATATCCAGCTTACTTGCAGGCCATCTAAGCCGAGCCCTGTTTGAAGTATCAATTGTTTGCATAAGAATCAAATTTCTTCTATGTTTACAAGTTTTTTTTCCTTTTCCTGAAACCTAACCTTGTACAGTGTAAAAAGAAGTATCTCAAATTTTGCTCTTCGTAATTCAATACTTTTTGAAATGAACAGATTACGCTGTTAGCCAATCTCCTCTTCTTGTGAAAAATCGGATAGTTTTTTTTAGAAAATTCCAGTTTTCTCGTATAAATCTCTAGACAAGTCTGGGAAAATTTTTCAACCAAGTATGAAAGAAAGATGATGTAGACGCTATTCAAGGGCGGCGGCTCTGAGAACTCGTCTATAACTTTTCTTATTCCTCAGTTTGCTTTCAGTAATTAATCCCTCTCATAAACCCGTTTGATTAATTGCACGATGCATTAGCTTCGTTGCAAAAGTCTCATGCTATTCCGTTGTTGATGTCTCTAAGATGCGCTATTTGCAACCAGATAAGCAGCGGAACGAGAGGATTTGATGAAAATCTCGAGCGATTTCTCGGACTAATTGTTCATGTCTTCACATCACACCGAAACAGGATTTGTGGTCAAAAGGCTAATAAGAGAAGCATGCTAGACAGAAGATTTTTTCGGGAAAATTCTCTTTCATTCCCTCTCAGGCAAGCGAGAAAATGGTCATGTTGGGACCATCAGATTCGTGTTCCCCAACTTGTAGGAAATACATTTTTCTCGGGTAAATCACTCAATGCAATAGCAGAATGTGACTTGAGATGGTGTTAATGTGACAGAAACGCTAGTTACGTTGTTTTTCCAGCCGCTTCAACGACCATTGCCTGTAAGCGCTGAACCGGCTAGCCTTCGGAGGGCCCCACCCCTCAGACATTGCTCGATTGCATGCTGCCCCTGGCTATCTCCTTTTTATTTACTGTTTGTATAGGATCTATTGTCCTTGGCGGTACTGCAGCCGAGCAATCATTTCCTCCTGGAACCAGTGACCATATTTCCCTGCGCGGTTATACCACCGATGCCCTACAAGAAGACGATATTGAACCTGAAACGGAAAATCGTCTGCAAACATTCCTGAAGAGAAGGAAGCGATACGGTAGTTTATGAATTTTATTTCTATTCGTAGCGTTTTTGATAACTGGACCTCTAGTAGTCCGTAAGAAACGATGGCGCAGCAATCTCCTTACATGGCGACTCGACAAGGCTAATGTAAAGGATGAAGATGAGTATGTTATTAGGTAGAGTTCGTTTGGCTTTCAACTCTTCTCGTCCAAATTTTGACAAATGAAGCTTTTCATGACTCTCAATTGCCTTCTCTTTGCCAATTTTCCTTCCATTCTTGCTTTATGGAAATAAATTTTAAAATTTCTTCAGGCAATCCGTTTCAACCTTTTCAAATGCTGGCTTAAGTTTGGAGCCCTAATATTGTCCACTCCTCATATATCTCTTTTTCTGTTTGATTCCCATAAGAAATTCTGCTGATTACTGTTACATCTCCGGCAAATTATCTAACATGAAAAAAAATCGCTAACAAAAACATAAAACCTCATGCGAAAGGAATTATGTTGGGCTTTTGCCCGTCTTTTTTTGGAGAGTTTGTTTCTTTTAACCTTCGTTGGTTTTGATTCAGAATGTCATGTCCTTACGTCTTACTGCACTTTTGATATACTTAGACGTCCTTCTCCCTCCCATCCCCTCGAAGCAAAATTCTTGAAAGTCACGTCTTTATGAGTTATAAGAATTGCAGATGACTTGTTCATACTTGTAGATAACTAAAGTAATTTTTAATTTTTTCAAAATCCAAATTTGCCTTGTAGAGAAATTTTTACAAGGCTTGGCTGCCGCGACGCCCCCTTTTCATGAATTTCGGGATTAGAGAGCAATTTTGGGAAGCATCCGAAAAAGATTTTCGGAGTGCTTGGCTAACGCTACGCACCTTCAATAAAAGAATTTTTTTGTTGTTTTTGCCCTCCCCCTTCCCCCTCACCCGAACGGAAATCCTGGGACTGCCACTGTTAGATGCGAACTGTGTAATTAACAATGGTAAATCATTCCGATGTGAAAAAGGGTAGGCATTCTTTATGCTTTTTGAGATCATGTAATGCTCTCTTTGCTTTCCATTTTTCTTCTGTAAGCTTGGCTGTTTCGACACCAGCAGATCACGGATTCTCAGTCAGATATCCTCGGTTGTTTCTCATATCCCAAGGTTTCCCAGACCACTGCTGCAAAAAGCAACGTCCTTCCAATGCTTAGATCCTGAATCGTAACCTTCACATTCTCACCAACTAGCAACACAATTAAACCTGCATTGTTAACTGTCTCACTCTCTCAATCCGGTTTTTTTTTAACTTATTTCAGAACTACGCTTCATCGGGCGTTCCAAGAGTGGAGCTCCGTGGCTAATGTTCGGTTTGATGAGGTTAACGATGGCCCAGCAGACATCGTTGTCGGTTTTGAGCGAGGGAAACATAACGATGCTTTTCCCTTCGATGGCAAGGGTGGGTTTCTTTGTTTATTCGTTTTCCAAAACTAAAGTAACAATTACATTTTTCATTATTCGCCAAACATCCTTGAAATTCTCACGTAAACTTGCTTTTCTTGGTGCTGAATAGATTAATTTGATGCTGGAAATGATCCGTATCGTCTAAATATCAGTCTGCTTACTTGGAGTAATTATCGCGCCTACGTATAGGGCATTCAAAAAATCGTGACAATGGCGCGAGCCGCATTTTCTTGGTTTCTCATCTCTACTCGAACGTTTTTGCCTACATATGATAGTATTTAGACACTGAAAGTGACTGAGCTGAGGATTGAGTTGATGTATTTTTGTATGAGTGTTTTATGCTCCTGTAGGCGCAAAGAACCGCAGTCAAATCCGTTGCCACAATTTTTGAATGACCTATATTTGAACCATTCTGCGTTGCTAATGTGTGCATTTGCACAATTTCCAGAATATTGATGATGAGGCATACGTTTTTCCAATGAAAATTAGACAGGGAGTTACTTACATTTTTGAGCACAAATGTTCAAACAACGAAAAAAATCAAGGAAACTACGCGAATAACCATACCTGGGTTTCCTGGCCCGTTTCATTGTAGAATTGTGCTATTGCACACATTAGCAAAGAAACATGCTCGCCTCTATATTCACTCAATTTGACACCCTAAACAAGAAGTAAGGACTTCTTCCCGTCAGGATTGTAAATGTTACGACACCGTTATTAATCACTCGGATTGGCACTGAAATGCTATCACCTTCAATCGCGTGCGTGCGCTGCATTTACGGAACAAGTTCTTGGATCATACACCGGGTATAATTCGATCCAAAGCAATTGAACCTGCTTCTTCAATAAATTGATTACAAACGGGGTTTTTATTCCACTTTGCAATGTTCTTTGTTCAGGAGAGGATTAGCACTGGGGATACAAAAAAGTCTAATGGGAATTTTGAGCTTTATAATGTCCTTTCTCATAGATTGGTGCAAACAGCAACATCCCCGCCGAGAGAGGTCGCAGCTGAAAAAGCTTCATATAAGCTTCATATCCTGTAGGTCCGGATGAATTCCACGCTGTTTATCTATCAGTAAGTAACTCTACCGTCCCTCACGAGGAGCTGTACAATGCTACAAGACTCATTTTTCAGCTTTTTGTATGACCCCTTAATGATCCCCCTGGGCCTTTTCTTTGAAGTCACTTTTCTTTCTTCAAAATTAATGAAAACGTGCCAAGTTTACTGATTATCTAACCGAGCAGTGCTTAGCATGTTTCTGACAAGAACAAATATTGTATTAGAGTATGAAATTTGCGATGAGACACTAGTCGAAAGTCGGGGTTAATCGAAAAATCCGATATCCTAAAAACTCACTTGTTCTTATTAGCATCATGCTTAACACTGTTGGGCTATAAACAGTACATGGCACTTTCGTTGAGTTCGAAGAAAGGTTTGACTTTGAAGAAAAGGCGGTCGGCCGCTCGGGATCATTAGGGGAGATCATCCAAAAAGCTGGAAAATGCGGCTTGCACTACTTTTCGCTCCTGTTTTATGTTCATAAAAAAGAAGATAGGAATACTCACGGATAGGTAGACAGCGTGAAATCCAGATGAGCTTCAGGATATGAAGCTTTCTTTTTAGTTGCAATTCCCCCCCCCCCCCCCCCCCGCCCCCGCTCCCCCGATGTTAATCAGGGCTCGGCAGCTGCCACTGAGTCAAGCTGGATATCGCTTTTAGAACAAAAAGCAAAAGGAATAGCGGAATTTTCAAGATCAGAGGGGTTCTCATTTTGAAATTTCCCTTCTGCCAGCTCGCGCCGAGTCCCGATGTTATGCGACCGCAAAGGCCGCATGCACTAACATCTCTGCTGGGAAAGAGGTCGCAGCTTAGAATAAAGCTTCATATTCTGAAGCTCCAGTTGTCCGGATTTCACGATGTCTACCTATCCTTATATATTCCTACCATATTTACTATGAACTATTGAACAGATGCGAAAGCTGTGCAAGCCGCATTCTCCAGCTTAATTTATGATTTCTTGATGATCCCGGGCGGCCAACCGTCTTTTCTTCAAAGTCAATTTTATTTCTTTGAAGTCAACGAAAACATTCCAAAGTTGTATTGGCCGTCTACTGCTAAGCGCTAAACATGTGCTGATAGGAACAAATGAGTTTTTGAAATACCCAATTTTTTGATAACACTCCAACCTTCGACTTGTGGTTCACCGCAGATTTCATGACTCCGGTATGTCATTTGCTCTTACCGGAAACATGCTTAGCGCAGTTGGATTAGATAATCAATACAATTTTAAAAGGTTTCCGTTGACTTCGAAACAAAAGAAAATGACTTTGAAGAAAAAACGGTCGCGGCCAGGGATCATCAAGGGATCATACAAAAAGCTGGAAAATGCGGCTTGTACAGCTTCGCGCTCCTATTCAATACGTTCATAGTAGAGGATAGCAGGAACACTTACGGAGAGGTAGACGTAAGGTTCAGAAGTTTGGAGCTTCAGGCTATGAAGCCTTCATTTGAGCTGTGATTCCCACCCCTCAAGGGATGTTAATGCATGCGGCACTGAATGACGCGAACCCCAGTCCTTCAGTTCCTTTATTACAAGTACCGCAATTTCTTTGCCAGGGAATTCTACCCACCAGCTGTAACGCGATTCCCTAGACATTTTCTAGTTCTCCTGTAAGGTGAACCGCGATTTGATCAAACTTGAAATTGCATACAGCGGAAGGAGCGATTTTCAAATCACACTTCAAGGTTATCCTGCTATTTTCAAATACACTTCAGATTATTCTGCTCAATGACACTGAGCCTTTTAGGCACCTCTGGCTCTTTTTTTACCAGCTTTCATACTCACTGATCTCCATATTGCAAATTTCCTGTTCATTCAAAGTATCAGAATTACTTCATTTGATCTTAATTCATTCCACCTTCAGAAGTAAGGGGCAGGATCCTTTATACATTTTTCATATTCTAAAAGATCACCGACATTTCTTTGAATCGGATTCATGAAGAGGATCCGAGTTTCTTGACATTTCGAGCATGTTTTGTATATCAAAAGGTGCTCCTTTCAATGCTTTTCGGATTCGTTTTCCATATCTGCTAAAGAGAACCTGAATGGAGTTGTAATTATTTTTTCAACCATGAATAATTGTACTGCGGAGGTGAAAATCATTAATACAAATTCTTCTTCCCTCTTCAAATGCTGAATATGATTAGATAGGTATAAATACAACGTTGCACCTTTCAAGATTCTCCTCGATGGCTTTAAACGATAAAATAGATCGAGTTGGGTGAATTTGACTACCTAAAAGTACGCAGATTTTCTAGGAAAAAAGTTTCCAACAGCCCTCCCCTTCCCCGCTTGAAAAAATCGATAAAAACGATAAGCGACAAGAATACTTTGGCAAATTAAAGCGTTAACGATGTTTAAGACGATACTTTTCTTTTCACTACAAAGGATCCCGTTGGCTCCATATTTCACGCTACAAGGGATCCCTTTGGCTGCACGTACCCAGCAATTTTCAAATTCCCTGCGTGTTGTTAAAAAAACGAGCGTAGCGAGAAAATATAGCTGTCGCGATTTATGCCAAATGTTTCATTTGACCCGCGAAGATTATTCAATAGGCGAAGGTGACACCAATCAAAATTTCTCTAGCGCTACGCGAGCATAAAGAAAGGTATCGCGGGATAGGATAAAATCACTCGTGGAAGAAATGAAAGTAGTGAACACAAAGTTCCTCATAAACGAAGAAACGAAGTGTTTTCCTGCAGTTCACATCAAATGTGCGTAGCCCTACGCAGATTAGAGTAGTAACTGACATGTGTGCGTGTGTGTTTTTTTCGCTATAGGGTCGTCACACAGAAATTTTTATAGATAAAGCTGAATGCATGTTTGTATGTCTCTATGTTCAGTGTACGTAGGTCCCGAATAGAAATCATTACTTCTGAACCGATCCGGGCCAATCTTTGCATACTTCGGGCGGGGCGGGTGTCGTAGGCTATTTTTCGTCACTGACTGATATCAATTTCATCTTTTTCTTCAAAGTTTCTTCAAAGTTCAAGCTAGTTGGCATAGGCGGCATAGGGAGTAAGTGGGCATGCTGAAAACGAGTATATTGTTGATAGGGTCGGATCGAGCCGGGTTTGCCGGTTTACCCCTTTCGGACCTGAGTTCTTGCGAGTGAGCAAGAACTTTTTACTTACTACCATATGAATAACATTATAGCGGAGTTTGGAGTGTTTTTAAAATTATAAACCACTTTTTTTATATTTTTTTATTTTTTGGTTCTGTGCTTATTATTATTTTCAAATCTTCCTCAATACATGTAGACCCGCAAACAATCAGCAGTTACACTTGAAACATTGTACTTGAATTTTCTGATAATAATATGAGTATTTTTTGGTTAATAGACGAGATTGACACGGTGTTGAAACCGGTGCAAGTTATTGATTGGTTGCAATTCACCTAATACAGAAATTTTTGTATTGCTAAATGACCACGCGGAAAAAAGCTACGTTTGGAAAGTAAACACTATATGAAGCGATTTATAGCAGTGAGCAGTAAGTATATTGCTCTTGCGCTAATACAACAGGTCCCTGAATTGATGGTGGAATTTGCCACCACCGGTCCGAAAGTGTTAATTTGAGTATCATTGGTTGCTCGTGTTTCACTCTGCAGCACCGAGCAATTGTTTGAGTAAACTAGGCGTTGAATTCATGTGGGAAAAGTCTAAAACCTATCAAATCAGAAGTGGCAGTAATTTACTCAGACAGCGGATAGGACCCCTCCGCCGGAGAAATGGCAGGGTCGCGGCGTTTCCCCAGCGGTGGGTCTCCCATTTGTCCGGCGGAGCCCTCCCATTTGTCCGGCGGAGCCCTCCCATTTGTCCGGCGGAGCCCTCCCATTTCTCCGGCGGATACCTCCCATTTTCTGCTCCGGATACCTCCCATTTTCTGCTCCGGAGGCCTCCCATTTCTGTTCCGGACCCCTCCCATTTTCTCCGGCGCGGCTCTTCCAAATTTGGCGGACACGCGCCGCGCAAATTTCTCCGGCGCGGAGTCCGCCAAATCTGGCAGAGTCACGCCGGAGAAATGGCGGACCTTTGCAGCAGGGCCGGATAAGCCTCCCATTTGCCTGCCAGTGATGCCACCGCGATGGACCGCCCATTTGCCCTTCTCTCATTGGTCAACTGGGTCCGGCGCGACTCTGGCAGTTTCGGAGGGTCCGGCGGAGGGGTCCCGTCGATTGTCTGAGTAGCAAGAGATATGTTGCCGGAACCAGAGGTCTTGCATGGCATCTGCTACTACTACGCATTTCTTGCACGTATTAGAGGTGCGTAGTTGTTGCAGATGTCCGTAAGTGATCTCCCCTTTTGGCAACATATTTTTCCCTTACCAGTGGTTTGGTCGACCATCATCTTATCAAGTTTTCATCACGCGAGAAAACCAGGAATCTCAATCATCTTTTCATTAGAACAACGACTAATCGACCGTTGACAACGGAGAAAGGCAAGTTTTAAAGCGAGGATTGTCATTGAAGGGGATCAAACCTCCAGTCATTCTCATGCTTGACCGCTCGTTGCACTTCATCAAATTTGTACTTCGGTCTCTATCTTTACATTTTCCCATTGCCTTAGTTCAGCTGTTATTCAATTAAGCTTCCTTATAGTAATTTTTAGGAGTGGTAGTTTGGTCGAAACCATCATTTCGGCCAGTTTATCATAACACAAGATATTCAGCAGCTTTACTTTATCCTTTCCATGAAACTGCGAGTTAAGAAATTGGAAGTAGTGGAGATGGGCAAGTTTTTGCTCAATTCTAAATTTAGCAAAGCGATGCCATTGAAGGGGATTGAACTTCCATTTAATCTCATGTTTAACCACTTTCATTGCACTGTACCAAATTTGCAGTTCGGCCTTATCTTTGCTTTCTGTTTCAGAATGATCTCCCTCACACCTCTTAACGTGTGAAACCACCACATCTTGGTTTCAAATGAAAAAGTGGTCAGGCGTACTTTTTCATTCTAAACGATGATATGATGGTTTCATGTCTGCGTCTCATAACATAAACTGCTGTTTTTATTATACCTGATTACAAAACAATAATGTGAACCTGTTGGAAACTTAGTAGTTTGGTTTAGAATGAAGCAATCATGGAACAATCATGGTAGCATGCTGCTTGCTTGCATATTTCATGATTTTGTATGACCGATTGAAATGAGGGGCCGTTAGAAGATGATCATCTTTACCACAATTTACCATGAGAACCATCACAGCATTCGATGGTTTCGACCGAATTACTACTACTCCAGGAATTTCCTTGCTTCTTTTCCATGTGAACCATCACATGTTCAATCCGAACAGTGATGTGATGGTTTCACGTCCGCGTCTGGAGGAGTGAAGCGCTATGTTTATCACTCTCTGGTAATAAAGCAATGATTTTAGCCCGCTGATTACTTCGCAGTTTGTTTTTGAAAAGAAACATGCTTTAACAAGCACTACTGGTTACTCGGTGTTCCAAAACTTCTTATGACTGGTCGAACTAAGAGGCGTCAGAAGTTGATCATGGTTACCACAATGTGACCATGATTGAACAGTCACATAATATGATGGTTTATCAAATTACTAACACTCCTAAAAACCAGCTAAGCTTTAGATGGCATCGTTGCACATGCTTTCTACCCCCGTGATGGTCGATTACACTTCGATGCTGACGAAGATTGGAGTTTGAATTCTCCAACTGGAGTGAATCTGTACCAGGTAACCCCGGACACAGGTTGTAGAACCTTTGAGCTGCTTGAACATCCCAGACCGCTGTTCACGAGATTGGCCACATACTTGGTTTGGAGCACTCTGTGGATCCGCAAGCAGTAATGTTCTCAGCGCGGAGACCGTATGATCCGGACTTCGCTTTGGGTAAGTAGAGAAAGCTATTTACAAGAAGTTAGAGTTTATGAATGTTTTGACACCATTCGAGTGAAGCTCTGATTTGCAAAGTACGGTTTTTGTAATTCAGTAAAAACCCAAATTTCAAAAATAATGAGGAGGAAAATAAATTTACTACACAGATTGATGGTCTCAAGACCTTTTTCTCTTTGTTAAACTTGGAATAGTGATCTCGGTCTCAAGTAGAAAATTGCTGCAGGTGTACAAAACAGTGGTTCCGGTGTTCGTTTCTTGGGCCCGTTTGTCAGTAGCATGTTGAGCTCTAAGTTACATAAAACCGTTGGCCTATTAGGAGCCGTGTCAACAAAATTGCAGTCTAAATGAATATCCTTACTCCTTGAGCGCATTGCGGTTGGCGAGCGCCCAGTGCTTTTCTCTGAGTGTAAACTGAGGAGAAGCAAATTTATCCGTTTATGCTTTGATTGTTCTTCCTTTATCAATCCTTACAGTGACTAATTGCGCGTTTTGGTAGACTACAGAAAACAACGAATTTCTGCAATAAAGAAGAAGTTCTGTCAAATGCATCATGCGTGTAAAAAAATCCATATAGCTCACAAACAATGATGTGCTTATCATCTTGTGGCTACTACAAACATCCAAGTACTTAGTTTTTTGTTGCTTATTGTACATCCACAAACTAATGATAGAATGTACGCAGGAGACGATGATGTGCGCGCTGTTCGTGCACTTTTTCCATTTGACGACGACTTGGAGGAAAGAGAGCAGAAGAAGAAGTATTACTACGAAAAGGAGTCCAGCGGCGATCGCGATCCGACCTTATCACAAGTCGTTGAGAATTTGGAGCTGGAGCCGCTTGAAAAAGAGCGAAAGATTCGCGATGACGAGCTTACATTCCCTTTCCCTTTGCCATTCTTCCAACCGCGATAAAAGTTGTGGTACCCTCTCACGAATTCTAGTCTATGAGGTGCTTGTTCTGCCATATTTAGGACCTTTTTACACTTCAATTTTTCTAACACTCCTTTTTTTCGTACATAGAAACTCTGCATCATAGATGGTCTAATTTGTGCAGCGTTGTGTATTTTCCAATATAAATGTAGTTGATTTCATAAAGATAATAAATTTTGAAAGCGAAGAATGTTATTGGGTAGTGTATTATAAATTGAAGCTTTCCTGCCAATTAAGGCCCCGGACAGACTTCACGCGATTTGATCGTCGCGACTCAACCCCCGTCATTTCCATTCATTTTCATTTCACATTCAAAAATTTCAGGCTGGAAAAGTACCACAACCGAAATGCAAGTTGATCGGCATGGAATGATGTTGTAACAGTTGTCTCGTCGCAATTCAGTCGCGACGATCAAATCGCATGAAGTCTGTCCGGGGCCTAAAGGTGTATTATGAGTACTACTTAAGCGACGCTAACGCGGCGCGTGACCTAAACGGCTGTAAATCCTGCGCCCCATGGGCTCTGCGGCTGATGGAACCGCGTTCGTGCTCCTAGATTATGTGCCTTTGCCCCCAGTAGACCTCAAATGTGCTGATCAGGGCCCAGCAGGAGCGTGGCAAATGGACATCGGTAAAACGGCTTCGCCTTTGCCGCTGTTGATTTTTTCCTACTTGATCCCTCCAGCTGCGTAGGTTGTTCGATTGAAGCGCGTTTTCTCTTTCCAAGCGACCGGTGTCGTAGTTATTCCGGATCCCAACAAAGAGGAGAGGATCCCAACAAAGAGGAGAGGATAAGTTTGGAACCAAAATGTTACCATATACTAAACTTCAAGTGCAGTACACATTTATGTGAAAATTTTGTAAAACTTATGTGAATTGGAAGTTTTGCCAACCTCAGGTGGGCATTAGGTGGGCAATTGCCCACCTAAATTGGAAAAAAACTTGGGCACGCTCTTCATTCACATAAGTTTTTCATAATAGTTTTTCATATTTTATTCCTCAATCCTACTGCGCGTATACCAAGACTCGCACGATTTCGTCATCAGCGTTGCAAACAAGCCATTTTTCCATTTCTTGGTAGCGGGAAGTTTTCAAAAAAAAAGCTTGTTACATCCTCCAGCCACGTAGTTTCTCAATGAAACTTTGCAGTCAACCCCTACAGGCCCGTGTTCATACATTTATCGAATTCCATACAATATAGTCATCTGCGCGTTGCAAACGAGCCATTTGAATTCACGGTTTCATTCACCATCTATGCAAAATTTTTGAAAGAAATGCTTATTACACCTGCCATCCACATAAATTTTCCATAATTTTTCACTCTTCGTTTACACTAGCTCCTCTCCGTTCGCTTACGAAATTTGGCCATATCGTTACGCATACATTGGGAACTAGACCTGTGTGTTGTTACAAACAGCATCGTTTAAGTAAGTTCAAGCGCGCGCGACAATAGCGACGGCGCGGTCTGACGCGCGCGAACTCCAGAATTCGCCTTATGAGGCACATAACTTAAGATAAGCAGAGAGCATGGACTACCAATTTTTCCCGGGACCTCGCCTTAGACCCCGCAAGAAACGATATCCCTTTTGCTTTTTCTCCCAGAACGATTTCCATCTTTCATTTGCCTGCCTCGTGCCGGGCCCTGATGCTGATGCGGGAATTATGATGTCGGTACTTTTTTCTTTCAAAAACAAAGGACTGCTCCGCCTTATGGTTTTTTGACAACCAATGTTGTTCAAGGCAACCCACAGAGAGCTTTTTGAAGGATAATAAAAATGCCGCTCTAGTAATAAAAAATTGGGAATTTTCCATTTCTATTTACTTCAAGCAGAATAATGCTCTTAGAGATTGTGCTGATTACTGGAGTCATTTTTTGCGAAATAATGTAGCCTTTTTGTCCTATCTGGCAATGTTCGAGTGCACAGACTTTTGTTATATATACCAATAAATTTTGAGCAGTACGCGCAGAAAGGAACTGTTTAACGCACTTTGTAAAACTTTTGCGGCAAACACGGACGTGTGCAACGACGAAATATTGTCAATTATGAGCAAGGACAAAGATGTCTAAACGTAGCGTGCTTGTCACCGTAAAACCGTTAAAAGTATCCTTGTAAATAAACGGCGCGTAAAGCGGCGGCGTCCTAATCTTGGTGTATCGAGACTCATCTCCTCTTTTGACAGGCGGTACACTGGGGTTTTAATGTAGGGAAAAGTTGGAATACAAATGCCACCCGCTCGACATTGTGTCGGTAGTGAACTTCGGTGCAATGTCCACACTGATACCACCTTAAGAACTGAAGAAGTGCTCTTGAATTGAAATTGATGTCTGTATGGCGCAGATCAGTTGTGGTACTCGGAGAAGGGATGCCAAATAACCCATCAGCAGAAGGGGTTGCCGGGAGCAGGGGATGCTTGCTGGTGATACAAAGGGCAGGCCAGAAAAGAAACATATCTCCCCCAAATGAATGTTGACCGGACAAGACGCAAGTACTGAGCGAGCGGTGTATATCAGCTGGTGTACTAATCTAGCTGCTATATCAAATAGAGGGCCTTCCCACTTCGTAGTTCTTGCTTTGATAGTAGCTGTGAGCGGTGTCATTATCTCCGTTATCAAAATGAACTCTGCACTGTCATTATCTCCGTTATCGAAATAAACTCTGCACTATCTTCTTTGCGCTTGTCTTTCAGTGATAAAGCTTGAAACTTCTCAATGCCACAGATGCTCTTCTAACAGATGTAGTGCAAAGGCGTGTCTGGCACTAGACGAGCGGTTGCATTCTGACTACGAATAAGGAATAATGGTAGTAGCAAAGGTGTTACAGAATGTTACTAGAGTACGCAAGTCATATTGTTTACACTCAAACCAGAGGCGTTTATCGATCTTTAAAGGCAGCGTCCAGGCAAGTCTGGACCTATGGGGATTTTACGTGGAAAGTACTTTTGGGGCCCTAACTAAGCCACTGCCCAACCGGCAGCTCAGGTAATGTCCTAACGGCTGAGATATTCCCCTCGAAACTGGGCCCCGCGACCGTGTTTCGCATGGATTCATGGCGCAAGGCGTGGATCCTGGCGCGAAACTGCCATGAATCCATGCGATTACGTTCGCGGGGGCCAGTTTCCAGGGGAATATCTCAGCCATTGGAGCACTACCTGAGCTGCCGCTTGGGCAGTGCCTTAGTTAGGGCCCCAAAAGTACTTTGCACGTAAAAGCCCCATAGGTCTAGATTTGCCTGGACACTGCCTTTAACACTCTGTTTGAATGTATTTTGAGAGTTGTCAAAAACCACCAACTTTCGAGCATCCGTTCAGTGCTTTTATATCTAAACATGTATTCTAACAAGGGAATGGTCAGAAGTGGAAGTGGCCAAACCAAACAAGCTGTATATCATTCGATGCAGTATAAAAGCTGACTTTAAATCTGTCTTCCTTATCTGCTTATCGCTTCTGTGGACGAAGTTACAAATGGTTATATTGTGAAAAAATTGTACATAAAAACAGCGAAGTTGAATACATTGTTGCACTTTTAGCTCAGCTTCTGGCTTTAAGAATTTGAATTAAGCAGCTGCATGTTTTTGGCCCAGCATTAAGGCGAACGTGGCTCTGTACGGCTAAATTTTCAATTTCACGCATAATTTTTTAGCAAATTAATGGTCTTTAATGGCTTATAGCTTCGTCCAGAAAAGCGATAAGCAGGTAAGGAAGACAGATTTAGAGTCAGCGCTTCATGCTGCATTTGATGATATGCAGCTTGTCTGGATTAGCCACTTCGATTTCTGACCATTCCCTTGTAAGCTATCCTCAACTACTGGAAACAAAAAACTTCCACAAGGCTGGGCTTTAGGCTGGGTGTAACATAGAGTGAGAAGTGTGACAAATACACCCCTCGTGCAGTTGAACCGCAAAACGTCAGTTTATTTTAAAAACCTTCAAAGAAATGTTCGCCTTTGGTAAGCTTCAGTTTCGCCTCGACAAATGCGTGGGTTATTGATTTCTTACATAAATGCATTTTCAATTACCCCCTAGCGACCTGATGTGTGGCTAACTACTTTTTTCTAATTCCTGTTCTCGACGTCGCAATTCCAGTAGAACTATAGGTCTGATTGTGTACAGTGCATAACGTTCTTTTTATGAGGAAGTAATGATTTTGCATCCATATAGAAAGAATATTTATTATCTTTATGTTGAGTAAATATCAATATAATCTCTAACTTGTCGTTTATCTTTCACAATGAGACAACTACTTGTAATACACGGCGACTTTTTCTCTCAGCAATAATAGTCTTAACAAAATGTGTTTCATTCAAGGCAAATAAGAGATTTTCACGTTTCAAGTTTGAAAGAATTCAAGAATAATTAATTTCAAATGTCTAGTAGGTAGCTTAAGAATCGTGAATCATTATGCTTTCTTTTCCTTCCTGCGTCCGATCACCATAGACAAAAGCTTACTTAGAAGAAACTTTCCCATTGAGTATATGATAAATACAATTGAGAAAGTGATAAGTAAAAGAAATGCAATAACATCTAATGAATGGTACTGCAAGAAATTCAGTTTGTTCCCAGCGGGTACGAGATTATTTAAAGTCTTGAACTCGGCAGTGAACTCCGACCAAGAAACTAATAAGTGCGAAGGGCTGACTGGCTTCTTCTTCACCATTTCTGATATTCGCTTGACTTTCTGCGAGTAACTAAAAAGCAATAAATATGCGGGCAAATGTCAAACTAGCATTTACCTTTCGTCCCTAAAGATCCTGTGCAGAGCTTCAGCTATCACATCTGAGTTGACCTTACTTTTATGAATGTTTATAGAAAACTGTTGCCTCTCCGCTAATTTTGCATTCTTTGGCTGATCTCCAAACAGGGCTATAGTGATCATGGGAACGCCAGCGGAGATGGCCTCCTGCATTGATGATACGAGAGCTATCTGGTGAGGAAGCAGGTGTTGTCAAACCTGTACGCTGTTATATCCTCCATGTGACAAGAATGCTTTAGTTTTTGGATGTTGCAATAGATCGGCTTGTGGGAGCCATTTGAACAGATGCACGTTTGGCGGTATCAAGGCTAAAAACAAACCATATTGGCAAGAAGGTTCTCTCAACAGTTTTCAAAGAAGTTTGCGGTGATAAGAGTACTAACTAATTATGTGTTACATCGTTCAATAGGGATGGAAAGCCTTGAAACCTTTTAAGACGGTTCTAAACCTAAAATGGTCGTACGGAACTAGCCGGCTTGCGTGTCTCATCCGGGGCAATCTTTGCTGATGGATGGGACTGATTTCGTTCCCGCTAACTCCGTTTCCTTCCCTTTCTTCACTGTTTCCGGGTGTGCCGCTCTAACTCTCCGCTCCCCTCCTTCCGTGTTTGTAAGCACTTAATACTATATACTGCGAGCACTCCATACCTCTCCTCCGCCTTTAAGCACATTCTTAGTTCATGCCTATCAACTCATACAGGTTAAATAGCAGCAACTCTTCGTATTCGGTCACAAACGCGTTTAATGGGCAAGACTTGAAGGATTTGCATAACATACAAAAGCTACGCTTCTTTGCATCTAGGAGCTGCGCAGGGTGATACATATTTGGCAATTCGTCAAGTTGCGTAAATGTAACTATCTTATGCGTTTTTGACTCCACTTCAATGAGGAAAAACCTTGGTACGTTTATTGCATTTTCTCTACCAGCATGGTAAATGCGGCTGTATCGACAACTTGATACTCTCTACACTGTGAGCTAAATCACATTTGTTCATTTAAGAGTTGAAGGAGTTCCACTCAGTTTAAATTTAGACGCGCCTTTGAATTTTTGACCTCGAATATGGCTTATATTTTGAAACGTGAAAATACGGATTTGCTAAGGACTTTGAGCCTTTGTTTCTTTTATCTCTAATTCCAATGGAAATCCAACCAAAAGTGCTTTTTGCGAGAAAGTGCTCTGACCAAAGTGAAGGCCTGGGATTTTAAAGAAGTTACCTTGCAAGTCGGTTCCTTCGTATCTCCAGATTATGTGGTGCTTCGGAAATTGTTTGAATGCATCGATAAAGGCTAGTTTCCAACTCATCGGCATTCTATGAGCAGGAGCTATAGAACCGAATGAAAATACCACCACGCCTTCCGCATCATCGACAATCTTTTGAAATTCCTAGAACAACGGCTAAAATTTTTGTTAGTGAGCATTTCAATTCGTATTATCAGTAGGTACGGAACATATCTATGTTCATTTCAGCAGCTATTTGTAACCGACCAGTTTCTTTAAGCCCCCTTCTCATAAACAGAAGCAGCGCGAGAACCTTATCTTCGGGTTCAATTCATTCTCGTCTTGGCGTTCCCTGTAGAAATGTAGTGCAATCATAATAGAAAGGGGAGCTTCTCTAAGCTAAATTCGAAGCAGACGTAAAGTGTGAAAATCCACCCAGACAATATGACTAATCTCTCTAGCAGATCATACATGCAATCGAAGCATTCAAACGCTGACAAGACCGCCATTTTAGGGCGAGGGTTCTGGCAGAAGTTTAATTTCTGGCCTTATAACATGACTTCTTTGTGCATTTAAAATATTTTGCCACTGCGTAATGTTAACAGCCGCCATGTTCTTTTCGTAAATTCGACAAACTATCGCAGAAAGGTGCAAAAATCCCTTCCCTCGTATGCTTTCTCATCCTCGTTATTCAATTACATTCAGCTTGGAACAGGAATGAGAATGCGGAGAACAACAAAAAAACGAAAAAAAAACGTAGACAAGGTTTTTTGAATTTGGACGCTGCTGCCAAGGGTGTGTACGGCGTATTCTGATGTGCACTTTGAAATCAATTGGAAAGCGCCGTTACAAAAGGCTTCCAAGTCCTGGCTTCCGAAGCAGTTTTCTCGCACTGGAAGTCAAATGCTGATGGAGCAAGGGCTTTATCAAGTAGGCGCCATCGCATTCTACGCTATTCTAGTTATCGTCACACCTGCGCACAGGTGAGGGGTTTTGAAGAAGAAAACACCTACTGGCTTGAGTGGCTTTGCATCCTTTGATTCCATTCCCAAACCACCAATATTCACAACTTTGGCCAACGTTGGTCGCGGTAGGTCGTAAATTTCATTCGAATTTACCATAACCTAAGCGCATTGCTTAAAAATGAGAACAACACTTTGGCTCAATAGCTCTTCGCTCACCAGGGGACAGTCCTTAGCAAGATCGACGATATCCGGAAAATCAGGACCAACGATTTTGCGGAAAATTGCTGTTTCTCTATTTGCGAGCATCCTTCAAGCTTTTATGTTTGTGTTGAAATAGTTTATCCAATTGACGTTGAATTACCAAAGTAACCCACCTTTTCCAGAAAAATGGCATTAAAATGTGCCCCATTAAGCTCTTGCCTCTCTCGAGAAAACTCATATGATCGGAGCTTTCTTGCATCAGCGCTGCAAAAGCACAACGTATCAAAGAATGATCGTCAATGATCCCACGTCTTATCTTTGACAGAATTTTCACTTACGCGGAACATAGCTGGGGACCGAAGGCACTCCTACGGTGTGCGCCACAAAGTCAACCAAGGCACCACTAACAGAAATAGTTGTACTTTTCAAAATTGTTTCTTCTTCGAATACCTGTTGAGCCAAATCCATGAAGGTATTTTCACATGGTGAACAAGCCCTATTGGGCACACATCATACATGTGGGCAAAGACCAGATCGAATTTCTCAGCAGCGAGCCACTCGATAAACTCAGTGTTTTCCAACATCTCTAGGATAGCTCTAAGCAGAAAATGCAGTACATAGTCGCTCTTACTTTGACAAGAATCGGTCAACAATCGAGCAAACTCATCGAAGTTTGCCATCAATCGGGAATCCCACACAGGTATGTCCTTAAAAAGTAAAAAAACGGTAGCACTTTTTGTGACAGCTTTACCTCAAAAATCAGCTTGCTTTGCCTTTCCTCCATGTCTTTCTTGCTCAATCCAAAAGAGGCGTTAACTGGATGAACTGAAGGCAAACTTTGTTCTTTTGGTGAATATGGCAGTCAACTTGTAATAGATGTATGCAAACTGCTCCTCAAGGAGCTTAAGCCACTGACTTCGGTGAACGGCCTGAGTGCTAGCAGACTGATCAGGCAACAATCATTTCCTTGCACCAAGGTTAGTGCAAGCACTATGTAAGTGACTGACCATTTTATCGATTTTAACGATTTTTGCAATCTTGTGTTAAGGTGCGGCTGGTGCATTGGTCAAAAAGGCGCACCAGTTGCAAAGATGATAGTCAATTTGGTATAATCCACTGTTTATCAAATATATTGCTTACTTGTGTTCTGGGGTACTACGACCCGCTAAGAGCAAGCAAGAACTTATAACGATTAAGATAATGTTATCTTGTAATCTTTGCACACAAGATTTGCCGACTTTGAATCTGATATATGCCGTAATTCAAGACATATGCAAAAGTCTTACAAGGCAAAGAAGGCTGATCGGCACTTTGAAGAATTGTATAGGTTGTTACAAAAATCCTCCATAATTCGGACACAATTCAACAACCTCTCTGGATGTGTCTTGTTGTTAGAATAAAATTGTCCTTCAAAGCAATACTTCAATAATTCTTCGGCTAGCTCGCGAACAAAGCATCCAATTACGATACTTCAAAATCAATGACTTTGAGTTTGTTCTTACAAGAGAGGTCCGTTGGGCCGAAGTGACCTTATTAAATGAAACTGATACGACTATAAAGAGCATAACGCTGAATCCAAATCTGTCTTCATTATCTGCCGGCCGCACGTCGAGTTATGAGCATTTTCTGAGTTGGAAAATTGAATGCATAAATGAAACAAAATTCGTCAGAATTGCGCAAATGGTCCATCAGATTATTGATTATCAGAGCACTCAATCTGAACAATACTTCTGTCCAAAACATTCAAACTTAACACTGCTCTATTTGAGCGCTGCGAAGACCGTAAAATTTGATCTTACCTAGATTATGCGTTCATTTTTGGCACCAAGAAAATATTCAACTCGGCATGCAGAGGCGCTCGGCAGATAATAAAATCAGATTTTGAATCACCGCTTGATGCTTTTTAAAGTGGTATAAGACTCATTTGGAAAGGCCATTTCGACTAATCGAACCTCCCTTGTCATTCTCCACAACATCTGTAAAAAAATACTTGCCCACTGGTAACCCATATATTAGGTTGGTTCATAAATAATGCACGTTTTCTCAACTTCCATTTCTAATGAAGATAATTCTTTTCCGAAACAATCTTTTTGGGCGCAACAAAAACTATTATAAACAGCAAACTAGCTATATAACGTGTACTTTTGTGTGATTGCACTCCTCACGGGAAAGATTTTACGACTCAAAATTTACCGAGAATTCTTTCTGGAAGGCTCTAGTTTGAAGAAGCATAACTTACTCTCAAAAGGACTAGACTGAAGCAAACTTTGCTCATTGTGTAGCCGATGGTCAATTCAGTAGTAGCGTGGATTTTGGCTTTTACCAAAAAATTTCTGCGGTCATTTGAAAAACGAGAAGATTCTGCCGTTTTCCTGTTATTAGTAGTCCTTGATCTACTCTACCAAAACCAAGTGAAAGTTATGTAGTTGCTTTTCACATAGGCATTTTATAAAGCTCCAAGTGATCCCATTTAGCATTTAGCTAACTTCGGGTCAAAGCTTCTCAGCTCAGGATCTCTAAAAAATCTAGCCTTGGTAAGCATTTTGTAGCACAAATATTCGCGATAACATATTTTTTGAAACAAATTTTCATGGAATTAGGGCAAGTCGAATGAAAAAAAAAATTTCAAGTTTGAGTTCCTTACCTTTAAAGGCACGGAACTTCGGCCTGAACAAAGATTTCCAAAAAAGAAAATGTATGTTTGAAAATAGAAGAAACGAGCTTTCCGATAGTTTAGATGGTTTTAGAGAAAATCGATTTTTGGTTGAAAACTAGACTTTGAAAGAAGAGGTAGGAAAAACGTGCATTAATTATGAACCAGCCTAATATTTTGTGGCAGTCTTCAATCTTGCACTAGAATGTAAAAAAAAAATTGAAGACGTCTCCATCAGAGAAATCCCCTCATTACCGCCGTTTTTACGGATTTTTTGTTCCTGCGTTTACATGTTAGATTGAAGCGTGCCACAGTGATGCATGTACTACTGCTTGGCACGATTTTTTTTCAATAAACCTCAGGGCTAACCTTTGATTCAACTGGCTTGGCTCCGTAAGGGCGGGGTTTTGTGATCTAATTGAGGCCGCTCGCGCCCGCGACGCACCTGCGTCTCTCTCGCGCGAGTGCTCTCTGATCATTACCTAGCCTTAATTAGGCTCACGAAGCCCGCCTTTGCCGACGCCAAGCCAGTTGAATCAAATGGTAACTAGCTGTTTCTAGTATCTCTTTATTCCAAAATCGATATAACGAGTTTTAATGAGCCAAATACGAAAGTTGTTTTCCAAGGCTAAAAGATGTTATGTTATAAGTATGTCGCAGGGCACAAAACCTCTTACTTTTGGAGTACAAGATCATGAATATGAGTCGCGAGTCAATAAGTTTGAGTTCCGCTCAAATTACTCAAAAACTCTCAAACCGACTTAAAGGCACCTTCCACTCAGATTTTTCGACTTTCACGTTTTTACCGTTCCAGGGCCTTCTCATGTTCCTGATTCCATATATGAAGTCGAGAATGCGCGAAAACCCCGACAATCTCCGTTCCGGAGAACCCATAGCTGGCTTTCCGGAGGTGATTGGATGGGCGCGCACAAATGGGCGGGCATGGATGGGGGTCCTCGTGCATCTTCGCTATTCCGAAGCGATTTTCTCGCCTCCGAAGCGGCATTCTGAGCTGCGACTTGGGCATTGGATTGATAGCGGACCCTACTATTATATGCTGAAAAAAGTCAACACCCTCAACTTAGGGTGGACGGTGCCTTTAATGTTTGTGTCAGTGGTCGCAAACAAGAAGGATTGCATTACTATTTGAGGTTATGTTAGATGGTACATAATGCACGCATATACCAAATGCACTTACTACGCTGTTTCGAAAACAATGAAAGAAAAATAGGGATGTGTGAGTTCTTCACACTTACATACTTTTGACTTCTTTCATAACCTTCACATTGTTTTCGAATCCTTCCACAGAATTGATCATGATCATGGTAACGTCATGTCCCGCTTTTGCCAAGGTTTCTGCCACTCGTGCGTTGTATAAGATCTGTATTGTTTTCGCATTTACTCAAGTAGTTCTTTTGGAATGTCTTACCTGACTGTTTGCCATGCCAGGAACGAAAAGAGCCATTTTGTAGCACAATACACTGGATATAGTTGTTAGCAGTAGTGGAAGAATGTTCATCGTAAAACTGTAGTGTACTTAGTAAGCAGGAAATTTGATTAGGAGAAAGTACAGCTCCAGCTAATGTATCGGAAGAACTGCCTGCGATAAGAAAGATCTTGTAGAGTCATTTACAACGAGGACGAAATAATGGTACTTTTATAGTAAATGTCAAAGTCGAAGACACAATCACAATTTGGATACAAATCATGCACAAAGTTCCAGGTATTTTTCACGTGAAAGTCCTAACAAACAAAGATTTAAGATAACGTAATTCTTTTATGTTGACATTTTTTGCTACATGTGCATTTAAAAAGGGGTAGATAATTATTGGCACAAAGTGATAATCGAGAACATGGTTCAAGACGTTGGTAAGTTGTACCCATGACTTATGCTCTTCTTAAAATAATCAGTAGACACCATAAACTGATAAGATAAGGATCCGATTCAAGGTCGAAGATTGGTCTGAAAGGTCGCTACTTGATTAGAAATTCCAAGCGTTCCTTGCAACAAAAGTATATTTATTTTTTTGACCCCATCAAATTTCTCATCATCATCATCTAACATGAGAACATATCCAACTACTACAAGGCGCCGATAGGCTTCATCCCGCGCGGACATCTGGTACAAATCCGTTATGTCTGTTACATGTGGAGCTGCGTACCTTGGCGGATGTCCGCGTGGGAAGACCCACTTTTGGCGGCATTACTCCTTCACTCATATTCCTCTGAGCTGTACCTTGTAAGCCCCCTTCCCTTTCTGAAATTTTATATGATGTTATATGTTTCTATGCTCCAAAAAGTGGTTCGCATAAGTAATGGAAACTTCACACATTTGTGGACGCTTTAATATAGGCTCTTTTTGTTATCTCTCTTGGAGAGACATTTTCAAGTATTGTCTCTTTCTCATTTTTTTCAGATTGCACAAAAAATAGCTTTGTTCGATATAGCGTCTCAGTTTAATGACTTGTGCGTCTTGAGGCAGTCCGTTCTTCACTTATCAATTCTTAACTTTGCTTCCAACATCTTGGTCTTCCGCAATATAAGAATTTTGAAAAATTTGACGACCGCTGTTCTTCAGAAAATTGCCCTAACTACACTACGGTCGTGCAAAGGTTTAGAGGTATGCTTGTTTGGAGAAGGCATGTAGCTTTTCCTGTAGCAATGTTCATTTAAAATCATAACAACTCATTGTTGACTTTTGTTGATAATCCTGTTTTCATTGTTTTTCTGCAGCTTCGGATTCAATGAGTAAATTCTCATTCATGAACAGATCTTTCGTAGCATATCAACTTAATGTTGAGTGAAGAATGTTCAAAAAATTTTTTGAATAAATTCTCATTTTTGTTCATAAAGCAATGAGCGGCGTACAGAGCAGCACTTGCAGAAGTGGAAGGCTGGATTTTGTGGTAGATACTGTTTTCTAGATTTCACTCTGTGCTCACTCCTCTTTGCGAGTATTTTCACTGCATGTTATTGCTGCAATGATCACATGGCCTTTAAATAGCATTTTATCGTCAAACACAATATGCAACATAGAATGTATAGCGATACTTGCTTGCTGTTCTTTAATTCACAAAAATTATATAATGCTAAAAATTTTTTCTTTCTATCACCCAGCCGAATCATTGACATTTGAGTGCACGCAGTCTGAGATAGCAGTACTGACAGCTTTACAATTGCAACGATTTAAAATTTTAAGGGTAATTTCTGATACGTTTGCCTAAATAGAATTTTTGTTTGACTCTAGTAAGAGCCTCTTGACTCTACGACTCTTTGACTCTGAAATATTTATATGGTTTTACTTTCCCATCTTTCCAGCAGATTGACTAGTAGCACGGGATTGTATAGAGGCTTAGAATTGACGGCAAGGAAGAACGCTATGTCAATTTTTTTTTCTTCGACTTCAGACCAGGGATATATACAGCTTGTCCCAAAAGTCTTTAAGCCTATTTTCTCAGCTGATTTTTGAGAGAAGCAACATAGACAAACGAAATTTAGTGCTAGCTTCTTCGTACAGGTCAGAAAAAAATGCGATTTCTAACCTGAATTATATATGACTTCAAAAAGATCGCAGTCTAGGCGAACGTATCTATCGTGAAGCGGTAGTCAACGTCGAAATTGTCTTTTGCCTTCTAGCACGGCTCCAGAGTATCCGGTGGATGTAGCTCAGGCTTTGCTTTATCGGAATAATTAGAAAAAAGTCAAGGGTCTTGCAAGGGAGTGTCACGATGTCGAAGTGGCCGAACTGTACAAGCTGCATGCCATTAGTGAGAGCTTGGAACGCTGATTCCAAATCTGCTCTTCTTATCTGCAGAGCGCCTTTGAGAAAGAAGTATGAGCATTCTTTAAGGCGAGAAAGTAAACTAATGGCCGGTGTAATATTAACCATTACAGCCTCTCTAGATCTTAAATGAAGCCACATACCATAATCTCCTTCTGCCTAGTGAATCAGTCTATCCTATTTTGCCATCTAACGTCTAGAAGGGCTGCAACGATTGATTTTAGAAAAACGCTCAACTTTTTTCCAAAGCGGATCTGCAGATATGGAAGGCAGATTTGAAATCAGCGCTCTAAGCTTTCATTAGCGGTATGCAGCTTGTGGTGATAAGCCACTTCCTTCGTAACCCTCCCTTGTGACAACATCAAGAACTAGCCAATCTAGGACGGTTAATATGGGCCATCAGCTACCTGAGGACATCAAGAAAACAACAGTTATGGTATAAAGCGCAACTTCCAAAAATTATTTGTTGAATAATGCAAAGATTACAGAATCAGCGAATCAAACTGATTTTCATGCTTCCAGCTTCTTTGAGGGTTTTTTTTTGTTTCCAAGAACTTCTTGTCAGAATGTTCTCCCACGAATTTTAATAGTAGATCATCCAAAACGCGCTAAAACTCATTCATGAACTCGTTAATAAAATGTATGCAAAGCGTGCTCGCGTCTCCTAGTCAGAGAATGAATGATACGTACAGTCGTTTTAGGCCCGTATGCACGTACATCCCCGCGGGGAGGGGAGGGGATCTGAGAGGGGAAGCGTCATATCTCGCTAGTCTACATATCTTTCTCCTTCTTTCTCTATCTTGCTTATGAAGTTTCTCATACACTGATACCTGCGCATAACGGATGCCAAGTTATTGCTATACAAGATTATATATTCACTATTTCGTCTGATCCCCTGGGGATCCCCAGGGGATCACCTCACATTTTCAAAGTCATTTGTCTTCCTGAAAAACCAATGAAAACGCTGCAAAATTGTATTGAAGATATCCTACGATACTGCTGAGCATGTTTTCAGCAGAAGAAAAGGAATCTGAAGATTTTGATTTTTTCGATATCCCTGGCTCGCGAGCAGCGGTTCATCGAAGATTTTGAAATCTTGAGATTTCACTCATTTCTACCATAAACATGTTTAGCAGTGCTGTAGTAAACCCTCAGTACACTTCAGAGCATTTTCATTGAGTTTTCAGGAAGATAAATGACTTTGAAAATGTGAGGTGATCCCCTAAGGATCCCCAAGGGATCAGACGAAATAGTGAATATCTAAACTTGTATGTAGTAACCTGGCATCCGTTATGCGCAGATATCAGTGCATGAGAACCTTCAAAAGCAAGACAGAGAAAGAAGAAGAAAGATATATAGATTAGCGAGATATGATGCTTCCCCTCTCAGATCCCCTCCCCTCCCCGCGGGGATGTACGTGCATACGGGCCTTAGATACGTATTGGTTTTTTCTACCGTATGCCTCTCAGCCTCAACATGGCGTGGATTGGTGTGGATTGGTGTGGATTGGTGCGGCGCCGCCGAGAAAAGCAACGCGGCGCAAACCCGAAGCGATTCGGCGCCTCACGAATCCATACCAGTCCATACCAACCACACCAATCCACGTCATGTTGAGGCTGGAAAGCATACGATAGAGAAAACCAATACGTATTTAAAACAACTGTAAGTATCGTCCTTTCCACAGTTGCTGCCACCCTTGGTCCGCGTCTCAGACCCACCACATGTGGCTAACATGTTGGTAACGTCGCCACAACGTGTTTGCAACATGCAACAATATGTTAGCAAAACTCTTTGGCTATTAGTCTTAGCGCCAACATGTTGCTGCATATCGCAAGTATGTTGTTGCCAACGTTGTCAACATGTTAGCCACACGTGGCAGGCCTGGGACGCAGACCAGGTAGCAGCAACTATGGAAAGGACGATGCGCGTGTACTTCAAATTGGAGCATGTGGGCGTGTCATAATGTTTACAGAAGCGGAAGATCTGTGTTGGGTCCCAACCATAGTTGCGATAGGGGGAGTGATGGATCTTACCCCCTTCACTTTGAGGTCAAACTCCCGATGACCCCCTTCACCTGGGCTGAGATTGGTATTGTACTCTGAGAATATGATAAAAATCGTTATTAAAAGGTTTTTGCAGGCTAAGTACCTCAAACAACAAGTACACTCATAAATTTACAAAAGAAACGGTATTTATGTTTATTTATATTATTTATTTATCCTCGTAGCATTCATTTGGAGAGCAGGAAGTGAGGACACAAAATCAGTTAATTTTTGAAGCACGTAAAATGCCTCATATCTCGCAGCACAGGAGACCTAGAAAAAGTCGACGGTCTACGTCGATTCTCCATGATCTCAGCTTCCGAATGGTATACAGCATGTTACGGCTTCTTTGCTTCCCGGCTCTAAAAATCATTTGCTGCGGTAACCGATAAAAGCCATTACATTGGTGGAGCTGGGTGGAGCAAGCTAATAGTAAATATCTCCACCCCATTTTTGAAAACTGGTTAGTTTTTTCGCCAGCAACCTATACACCATTCGAAAGCTTAGGAAAAGGGGATTCGACCTAGACCGTCGACTTCTTTCTAGACCCCTCTACCGAGAGATACACCGCATTTTATCTGAAAACATGGTCATTTTCAACAGCAGATTTCTGCCAAATGAAGACCTAATCACTGCTGGTTATCTATCTGTGTTAAAGAGCAAGTCCTCGTTAACAAACGTAGACCGTCGACTTTCTCGTAGCATTCATTTGGAGAGCAGAAAGTGAGGACACAAACTCAGTTAATTTTTGAAGCACATAAAATCCCTCATATCTCGCGGCACAGAAGACCTAGAAAAAAGTGGACGATCCACGTCGATTCTCTATGATCTCAGCTTTCGAATGGTATGCAGCATGTTAGGGCTTCTTTGCTTCCCGGCTCTAAAAATCATTTGCTCCGGTAACCGACAAAAGCCAACACATTGTATAAGTCGTCCCAAAAGTTCTTGCGCACGATTTTCAAAAATTCATAACTTCTGATTTTTCCAACCAATTTGACTGCTTCTATTTTCGTATGAAATAGTAAGTCATGATCTTTATAATGACATCTCAGCTGCTTAATGGTCATCTGTTGCATAGATAGGAGCGATAGAAGAAAATCGGTCAAAATTTGAATTTTCTGTGTAGGGCCATGAAAAATCGGAAACTTGCAGCAAAAATCGGAGCAGTCGATTTTGTAGGTTCTTTCACCAGCTCTTTCTAACACTGCAAAGTTTGCGCCGATTGAGCGCCTCTATAAAAAGTTATGATTTTCGAGCAAGCAATACGTGAGGGCGAATTTGGTTTATTTTCATTTTTCAGAGAAATCATAATTTTTCATAGAAATGCTCAATCGGCGCAAACTTTGCACTGTTAGAAAGAGCTGGAGAAGGAACCTACAATACTGACTGCTCCGATTCTTGTTGTATGTCTCCGATTTTTTATGGCCCTGCACAGAAAATCCAAATTTTGATCGATTTTCTTCCATCGCTCCTATCTATGCAAAGATGATCATTACTAAGCAGCTGAGATGTCATTATAAAGAGCATGACTTACCCTTTCATATAAAAGTGAAAGCAGTCAAATCGGTTGGAAAAATCAGAAATTATGAATTTTTGAAAATCGTGCGCAAAAACTTTCTGGACGACCTAATAAGAGCGAGGTGGCGCAAGTTAATAATAGAAAAAAAATGTGCTGTGGATTGACATCGTTATCAGCACTAACGGGAACGTGAGCGAACGCGTCTATTCAGGCGTGCTTATCGTTGTTATATATTCATGTTTTTTTTTGGTAAATATGCGCTTTTGATTGACAGTTATGCAATCATTATTAGCACACACTCAAAAACTATGGAAAATTGGTGAATTTCCACACCTTCACACAAAAACCCACCCATTTGTGGAACCTATACTCTGTAAACCTAGTGCTGAAGAAGGTCATTTTCGTGAAAACGCTCTAGACTCACCTTACCTAATTTGTAGAGAATGGTTGGTATCAATAAATAAAAAACTTTGAGACATTTAGAAGAATAACATGTTATTAAAATATCCCTCAATGTTTCGGAGAGGTTGGCAGTTTGAAGAAACGGCAGGCAGAATACTTTACAAAATCGCAGATGACTTGCATGTGTTTCAGTTCCACAGCGAGGCAGAAGGAGAACTTTACGCCGACGAAAATGTTGTAGACATCGATACAGAGTTGACAATTGAGCGAAACTCTCTGATTTCCTACATAAGGAATCCAAGCAGATTGCCTAGTTTTATTGAGGAAATGTCAGGAAGTCCTTTGCTGATCTTCAGGTTGCTGAAGATTTCAAGGCTGCTAACCCAACTCTGTGCTTTATGCTTTTGGAAGTTATTCGCCTTGTGACATTATGACCTATGATATTGAAAAAAAACAACGCGCAGCATAGTATCTACTTCTTCCGGTTTCCGCAGATGTTGTTAAAGAAGAAGTTGAGCAGCTTTCTCATCAGCTAACAGGACGTAAGCCAGAGGAGGTGAAGCCAGAGTTCGACAAGGCCCAAAAAGTATGCACTATTTCCTACCAGTGTTGTGAAAGCATATGCGATCTGGCTCTTTTCCCATTACTTACCGCAAAAATCTGATGGACTTACTGGCAAAGCTAGTTTCCATTCCGACTAGCACGGCAGAGGTGGAGAAAGAAATTTTCTATCTACTCTGTTATCAGAACACAACGCAGAAGTCGTACAACGATGGAGCATCTAAGCAATTACTTGAGGTTTGTCAACCTTTTACTAAACATATTGTTATCTAAAAACTTCATTTAAAGGATTGGTATAAGTGGTTGAGACAGGCTGTTACCGTATGAAAATTTCCTAAAAGATGGTATGAAGAAACTGGTCACCTACCTGCCGACTTTCCTGGTGCTATCAGAGGGCCAGGAAAAAAAATCACAAAAGCGCTTAGAAGAAGAAGAAACTTTCAAATCCATTTTCGACTCAGAACGCTTTTGCACGCAAATCTACTTCTACTCCGATGACCTTTTAGAGGAAGAAGAAGATTTTTGGCGAACAGCGAACTTGTTGTCTCTGACGTTAGCGATAGTGATATTGTTGATGATGATGTGCAGGAATTGAAGTTGTTCCTAACTTGTACATCTTTTGGGATAAACCTTATTGCTTTCGTTTTTTGTTGATGCAATGAAACAGGAGCACAGATCTTCATAAAGTCAATTTTTAAAAAAAAATTTAATTCCTTTTAAATTTTTTTAATTTTTTTTATTTGTGCCTAAATAAGGTACAAATTAGAGCTCTTCATACCACGCTTTTCTACCTTTTCTTCCTTCCCCCCCCCCCTAGACTCACATACCCCCTTCACGCTGGAAGGTCGGGAACAGCCGAGACCCCCTTCACCTGGAGAGAGCCCGGCTCCCCCTATCGCACCCATGGTCCCAACCTTTGATATTCGCTTGCATTCTCATAGAGAATACAGAATGTCGGATCCAGCTCGAGTTCGCGTTGACTTTGCGTTCGTTGCATATAATCTGATAGAACAATCTGTTTTTGACCTGGACTAATATCAAAAACAATGAATAGATCAGTACGGCTACAAGAAACGACACCGTGCTATCTCATCTTAAACAAGCCTCAAAAGTGCAGCCAAACACACAATCTCTCCAAAAAGGTGATCGACTGATCGTGAGATGAACGTGATTCTCTGGTTTTTGAGCTACAACCGCGAGGATGTATGTAAGATGTGGCGTGTACTCTGAGCTAATTAGTATGATAACGGTCTAAAGACTGTCATCAATGATAAAATTCTAAGTAGACTTCCACTTGGTGCTTGAGAACGATTATTGAAAGTTTGATCTTTTATAAGTTTGATTACTTTTGATGGAAAGCTTTCGCTTTTTTTCTGCGCACCATATTGTAGGCAACTTAGATTTACAATATGAAGAGAGTCGCCGTTCGATTCTCATTATGTAAGAGAACGATAGAATCTTTCTTACAAGCAGCATTGGGATTAGCCGTGTTTCAAAGAACAATCTAAAAAACATGAAAAGTTGTGTATCAAAGTTTTCACGCGCACTGATTTTATTACTCAACTTTTTACGAGTTTGTAAAATTCTGAGATGGTGTAACTACGATTTCAGGGAGTATTGTAGAAATAGTTGCTGTTTTTTGGCATAAGTTATGAACGAAGCATTGCTGTAAAGGACAAGGTCCTATCTACCTCAAATTCATGCGTACAAGGCGCGGGGAATTTTTCAAAATTGACTGGCCCAAGCAGCTAAAGGGATTCGCAACCGAAAAATCCACGAAATATATTGAGGCGGCTGAGCGCCTCGCTTGAAGTCGAAAAGGTGCTCCTTCTACGCGTGAAATAGCGGGTGTGATTAGCCTAACAATAAATCAAGACTTTTCAGATTGTTTGATTAGCTTTATGAAGGTGAACAGGACACTCAATGGCTTATAACCCTCCTCAAAATGCCTACCGTAATCTTACAGTAATGAAAAGCGACCGTTAATTTGCTTCACATCTCCAAGTGAAGCCAGCTCTACGACATGATGTTTGAAGGAGGGCAAAAGCTTTCCTACAAGGAGTTATAACAGATCGAAGCTTCCATTATTCTGAGACCCCTGTGTATTCGAGCAATTTGCCTAGCTCAGTCCGTTGTAGTGCGATAAATGAGGTCCTTCAGATTCAACAAAAAAACTACATCAGCTTTGTGTAAACGAACACTTGTAAAAGACTGTTTGATGATAAAACTTAGATATTTGATGTCCCATAAGACTTTTCATATTCGAACCTTCACTTGATATTTATCAAGAACTGAGCAATTACAAGGGTACAAATCTGTGGCACTACTTCTAAGTGAATAAGCGGTATAATCACAGATTTGCGAGACAGAACCGCTACAGCAAAGTTTGGAAATTATTTTCTTCTTGATTTCTAGCCACCAGAAAAATGCAGCAACTGTATCTATGAATATCTGATGGGCAGTGGCGTACTCAGGATTTCGGCTCGGGGGGGGGGGGGGGCTACAAAATTTTTTTTCTAGTGAAGGTGCCACGCACTCCGAAAAATTTCTTGGGATGTTCCTCAAAATTTTTCCGGGCCCCCGACCCCAAAATTCCAGAAAAGGTGGGCGTGGCAGTAGCCACGCTCCCGAAAAAAATCTTTTACAAGGCTAATTTGAATTTTTAAAAATTTTTAAAAATTATTTCAATTATTTACAAGTAAAAATAAATCCTCTGCACATTTTTATAACACATTTAAGTAACTTTCAAAAATTCGCGACCCGTTCTCGGGGGGGGGGGGCCCCCCCCCCCGCCACCCCCCCTCGGTAGGCCACTGCTGATGGGGGAAGTGTATATGCGTGGGCAAGTGGGAAAATTGCAGAAGTGTTTTGAAGTAAGATACGATAACTTTTGTTTTTTCAAAAGTTCAGATTTTTTTCCATTTCTACTGCAAGCTTAATGCGGAACAAGCTTGGTGCAAGTTGAACACCATCTTGTAGAGCTTGTTTTGATCTGTCGAATGGTACCTTGCATCTTTGAATATAAGATGAAGTGACTTATATGTAGGTGGTCAGATATGAGAAGACTTATAAGACAACTTGACACTTCTAATTACGATTACCGAAATGTTCAATAATGCAAGATAATTCAAATTTTTTATTTTATAAAAAGCACAATCAGTTTTTTTTATGAGATCATTAATATATACAATTCTTAAGGCAAGCACTTCCGCCGCAGTCACGTCTCGTCGACATCCCTCTGAAAAAGGATGATTAAAATTAAAAAGAGTGAGGAGATTAACATGGAATCTCACCGTGATTAATGGAAGGACTTTTTTCGCTGTGACACCCTCATTTTCGAACGATTTCTTGGGATCCTTTTCCGAACGCTTAGCTTCCTTGTACATTATTATCAATTTATCGTTGCGGGTGGGACCTTCTTGCCGGAGTATCTGCAAGATGCATCGGATTCAGCTTTATGCAAAAACTGCATCGCTCAGTGTGTATGAGTACCGTCTTCACATCAAAACAAAGATAAATCTTGTGCATCCAGTAGTTTAGTTCATTTTCATATAGCTTAAAAATTTCTGTGCACTTAGGGCCGCATGCACTAACCTCCCCGCTGGGGAGGGGATCGCAGCTTTAAAAAAAGCTTTATATTCGAAACTCCAGATACCTGGATTTCACGTTGTGTACGTAACCGTAAGTATTCCTACTACCCTTCACTATGAACATGTTGAACAGGAGCGAGAAGCTGTACGAACCGCATATTCCAACTTTTGTATGATCCCTGATGATCCCTGGCACTTTTCTTTAAAGTCATTTTTCTTTCTCCGAAGTTAGCGAAAAACCTCCAAAGTTATGCAGATTAACTAACCCGACAGTGCTAAGCATGTTCGTGATAAGAACAGAGGTGCGATAGGGGGAGCCGGGTCCCCCAAAAGTGAAGGTGGTTTCAGCTACCACTGGCCGGCCAAAAGTGAAGGTGGTAGTGTCGGACACTCACCTCCCAAAAACGTCGACGGGGCGACGGGGGGGGGGGGGGGGGGAGGTGCGGGGGGAGGATAGAACGGACGAACGGAGCTATCTTTCTAGGTCTAACGTCGACCCAACGGCCTTCTTTAGGGCCACAGATACGATGAATATTAAAAATATCTATAAATTTTATTTATAAAAATTTAAAATAGACGTGTTTAGTAAATGGTGTATTTGGAAGTAGAAGTTTGTTGGACTGTACGGATTTTATTAAGCAAATTTTGTTATAACGTACAGCGAAGAAAGTAGATCGATCCAGGCAGTAACGGCCGAGAATCAGAATTTCGAATAAATAAATAGTGAAAAATCATGCAAAATTTCCACTGTTATAAATCTGTTGTTTGAAGATGTCAGCAGTTGCGACTTCATAGGTTTTGAAGAGTAGATGTTGCTCTATCAGATAGTGAAGGAATCGGGTCGATTTAAGAGATAGTCGTTGAAAACCAGAGTTCTAAAACTTTACGCCATTTTTGCGTGTTTTTTGACTGTTGAGAGTTAAACTCTTATAAATCTTGAATGTGGAAGTGTATGATGTTGCGACTTCATAGGTTTTATAGAGTAAGGTTTGCCTTATCAGAATATGTCTTGTCCGTTCCGATCCATTGAAACATCTCCGAGATCCAGGCTCTTGAAAAAGCAGGTAAAAAACAGCTTTTTGAACTTCAACAGCTCGTAACTTCTTCAGAACTGCATGAATCATGTTGCGACTTCATAGGTTAGATTCTTCTCATCAAGAGCTTTCAGATGATATATAATATGTGGGGGTTTAGAGCCTCCTGCGAATTATGACCGGGGGGGGGAGACTTTTTAGGCCAAAGTCTCCCCCTCGCCCATTTTAATGTATTAGCTGGAGGCTGCCGGGGGAGACTTTGGCCTAAAAAGTCTCCCCCCCCGGGCATATGCCGTAAGAGGCGCGAAACCCCCACATATTATATATCATCTAAAAGCTCTTGACGAGAAGAATCTAACCTATGAAGTCGCAACATGATTCATGCAGTTCTGAAGAAGTTATGAGCTGTTGAAGTTCAAAAAGCTCTTTTTTACCTGCTTTTTCATGACTCTGGATCTCGGAGGTGTTTCAATGGATCGGAACGGACAAGACATATTCTGATAAGGCAAACCTTACTCTATAAAACCTATGAAGTCGCAACATCATACACTTCCACATTCAAGATTTATAAGAGTTTAACTCTCAACAGTCAAAAAACACGCAAAAATGGCGTAAAGTTTTAGAACTCTGGTTTTCAACGACTATCTCTTAAATCGACCCGATTCCTTCACTAGCTGATAGAGCAACATCTACTCTTCAAAACCTATGAAGTCGCAACTGCTGACATCTTCAAACAACAGATTTATAACAGTGGAAATTTCGCATGATTTTTCACTATTTAAATATTCAAAATTCTGGTTCTCCGCCGTTACTGCCTGGATCGACCTACTTCCTTCGCTATACGTTATAACATAATTTGCTTAATAAAATCCGTACAGTTTTGCTAAGCTTTACTTCCAAATACACCATTTACTAAAAACCTTTATTTTAAATATATATGCCGCCGTATACATAAATATATGCTTTCAATAATCTTTTTTGCGTTTGCTTTGCTTATTTTCCTTCTTTGTCGTCCAGCGAAAAATTTTTTATTCCAAAAGTGAAGGTGGTCACCCCGTACCAGCTCAAAAGTGAAGATAGGGGGAGACTTGGCTCCCCCTATCGCACCTCTGGATAAGAATAAATGATGTTCAAAAGTCATGAGATTTTCGATGATCCACAGGTCGAAATTTGAGGTTTACCGAAAACTTCGACTTTTCAAAAACTCATTTGTTCTCATCAGCAACATGCTTACCACTGTTTTGTTAGATGTTCAGTACAACTTTGGAAGGTTTTCGTTAACTTCGGAGGAAGAAAAATGACTTTAAAGAAAAGCGTCGGGGATCATCAGGGATCATACAAAAGCTGGAAAATGCGGTTCGTACAGCTCCTCGCTCCTGTTCAACATGTTCATAGTAAAGGGTAGTAGGAATACTTACGGATAGGTACACAACGTGAAATCCAGGTATCTGGAGTTTCGAAATATAAAGCTTTCTTTTAAGCTGCGATCCCCTCCCCAGCGGGGAGGTTAGTGCATGCGGCCTTTATTTGCTTGGGTTTGACCATCTGTAGCCATGCAAAAGGTAGCCATGCAAAAGGTTCGAGATATAAAACTAATATTTGGATACCAACGTTTTTCAAAAACGAGCTGCAATTGGATGTACGTTTTCTAAACACAGTTCGTTTCTTGATGCATAGTTTTCTAAAAATGTTGTAATTATCTGACTATCCAACTTTCCATTTCGTCATCAAAAAAGTAGTATTTGTTCATACATGACCCTTTCAAGTAGTACCACACTTTCATGTATACTCTATCTCTGACATTTTTACAAACAGCTAAAAACGATTGAAATTGTTTTTCAGCTAACACAGAACTTTTTTCTCTCTTTTACGAGTTATCGTCGATCAGGTTAAGCACCATGAACAGCACAAACGACGTCGACATAGCCATTTGATGGCTTTTCTATGAACCAGTGTCCGTATAAATCAGGCTATTTAGTTTTTGTGTGAAAACTAAGTGGAAGGCCATACTTAAGCTAATGCCCAAGGATGGCCGTTTCATTAATGGCCTGCAAATCTCTCTACTCTCATGTCTACCGTACCCTTTTTGGAGTGAGCTTGCCCGAACTCCACATTGTCATTGTCACGTGGGCAATGGCTTAGTTTAGGTCCCCTAGTCAGTTTGCATCAAAACTCCATCCAAAGAGATCCTGTGGACTTTCTTGCGCCGCGCATATGCTCTCTAAATAGACATTCATAGCACACTCACCGCATTTTTACATTGGAAAATTTGAAATAGGTCAAAAATGCGCAAATATTGCCTTTTCCTGGTTTTTTATGCTAAAATTAGTATTCCTCTGGAAGTAGCCTTGGGAAGCGAAAGTCTATGCTTGTACCTCTGAAAGTTCGTAGTATAGAACAGCCTATGTCAAATGGCTCAGCATTGCATTTGCTAGGGCATGCCAACTTTTATTTTCTATTTCAAAAGTAGAAAAAATATGACAATTGTACAAATAATGCTTGATGTGACAATATGCCGGAAAATCGGAAGTCCGAAAGATCTTTCTGGACAAAAAGCTAATTTTTGAGTACTTGGATTTGTTTTGGACTTTGCTGTCAAACATCGCTGTCAACTCTTTGCAATCGTTCCGATGCAGTATTGTAGAGGTACTTTGCTATGTTGAATCATATGTTTCCCACATTTTCACATTCACAATGCCGCGATTGATTAAGGAACCTGCATTGATTTTCGGACAACCTGATATCTAAGCGCGAAATAGGTACTTCCAGTAAAATTACGGAGGATTACGGATTACGGAGGATCAAGGATTACGTGCCATTACAGAAGGAGCGGACGAAATTTGCTTTTATAACCGCGCAAAACTTCTAACTGTATCAAAAAATCGCACACACGCACATCCTTTCCAGTGTTTAAGAACGTATTACGATGATTTTGCATGACGATGTTAGTCAAAAAAATCCAAATTTACGGCCTCATGGGTTTGTTTGATATGTCGGAATATCAAAGCAGAGAACTATCTTACCTGCAAATCCATTGAAGCACCGGAATCGAGAAACGCATAGACCGGTGACACCTGAAACATGTTAGTTGCTATCATCACCGATAATTGTTATCAGAGAAGCTGAAATCCAGTCTATTTGCTTTTTCATAAGCTCAACTGCTTCTAGTATATGCGTACAGAAAATCGAAAAGCAATGAAGCAAGCAGTGGCTTTCTTTTTGGCAACTGTAACGATAAAAATATCAACTCGTAATCAGTTACCCTTTCATTCAACCGGCTTGGCGGCTGGAAGACGGGCTTCGTGACCTAATTAAGGCTAGCTTATGTTCAGAGAGCACGCGCGCAGGAGAGACGCAGACTGCATCACGGGCGCGAACGGCTTTAATTAGGTCACAAAGCCCCGCCTTCCATCCGCCAAGCCACTCGAATCAGAGGTTACGACCATTACTTGGGCATGTTGCACATGCCTTTGTTTATGAACATTATGTGGATGGTAAAAGCTTCACCAATAATTTTTGAAACTCTGATGCACTGTTCGCAATCTTTCTTCCGCACATAACGACAAGCCAAATGAAGCGGGTAGTAAAAACATTTTTGAACAGAGTAAGATGTTTATCACAAGCGAAGTTTTTGTCCCAATGAGTTAAATAGGCATATCTCTACCTAGCGTTGTAGGTGTTGTAATTTGCAGTTGTCCAAGCGAAACAAGTTTGGACAAAGATTTCGCAATTTTCAAAAATTTGGTCCTTTCAGCAGAAAATTAGGTTGAGAGATTTTCCAAAGTAATCTACTCGAGTCAGTGAACATTAGGTTGGTGCAAAAATAATGTCCGTTTTTCTAGGCCTGCTTTACGAACAACTATTTCCCATCATATTTTCTTCTTCGACTAGTAAACCAGTAATCTAAAGGTGCTATTTGGAAGAGCTTTCGCGCTGGGATCGCCACGCAGTTTGCCGTTATTTGCAGATTTCTGAATTGCGCTTATGTTTCTTTATATATCAGATACAGACATGGCACACCATTGAAAAGATTTCTTCATGTTTCTAACAGTGGTGCAATTAGGCTTCTATCTTCATTTGTGAGATTTTCTCCAGCATTTTGCACATTCAAACTTAACAAATCTCATAGCTTTCACTTTCTTGACTACATTCAGGAGCAAATAAACGAATTCTTCTGAGAACATAGCAATTGCATTAGATGAAGATTGTTCACCTACTGCATGCATTCAAAAATATGCAGACTGGACAAAGTTATAGCCTTCCAAATTGAAAAGTTGCAGAATGGACATTATTTTTGCAGCAATCTAATATATTTTTTCATTTGTAAGTGATTGAGTCACTCTTCATTATTCCCCCATAAAGGATCAAATTTCCTTGGAAAAATTTCCAAGTTTCAAAGAGTTCAATATGCAAGAAAATCCCAAAAGATTTTGCTTATAGTGTAGAAACAACTCCCCATATAGAGAAATGTTAGCTATGCTTCTTACCCTCCCTCCCCTTCATGGGACGTTTTTTGTTCCGAAAAAAAGCAGCGAGAATCATACCCATATTAATTTCATTTACTTATTTATTTATTTATTTAGAATCAAACCCTCGTTTCAGACATATCTGCTTGAATATTGGCTGAATCCCTAAGGCCCCGGGCAGACTTCACGCGATTTGATCGTCGCGACTGAGTCGCGACGAGACAACTGTTACAACATCATTCCATGCCGATCAACTTGCATTCGGTTGTGATACTTTTCCAGACCGAAATTTTTGAACGTGAAATGAAAATGAATAGAAATCTTGGCGATTAGATCGCGACGATTAAGTCGCGTGAAGTCTGACCGGGGCCTAAGGATGTACGAAAGAAAATTTGTGTTTATGCTGGAAAGATCAGTTGATTAACAGCACATTCAACGTTTGATACTGCAGTCAAAAATATCGCATTCACTATTTGGGCTATGAGTTAACTTAAGCTAATCTGGAAATGAAAAATTTCCATGAAAAGCGAAATTAGCTCTAAGTAGTACAAAATAACGGAAAAATAGATGCGATTTCGTCTGCAACTACACAAACTGAACTGTAAAATTGCAGCCACCAGTGTTACGAAATAGGATTATTGGAAGGTCTTGAAGGTTCTTTCATGCATGAAATAAACCCACGAAAAGACGTGCACCTCAAAGCAGTGCAGAAAACAAAGACATCGGCAATGCTCCAAAAAAAAATGTGCGAGTGCCTCTAGATTCATTGAGAAGAAAAATTTTTTGAGTAGTTTATTAGAAGTTCAATGATAATTAACCATCAGTTCGATTATTAATGACTGCACACAGATACTTGCGCCTTGTGTAACTTATTTCAAGCAATTGCAGCAAATTTCGACCTTTTTTTGATAAGAGGAGGGGGGGATGTACGGGGATTACTCCAGCTCATCTCTAGCAAAGATATGAATGACAGATAGCATAGCGGCAATGGAACAACGAAAAACAAAAGGCAAAGCAGTTATAACACGTGTTTACCGTGCACAAAGCTCTAGCTCTGGGTCTAGCTAGACCTCTATGTCCCTGTTAAGTAATCCCAAAATAATTTCCACTGGATAGTTGCCGACGGACTCACCTTGAATAAGGAATTATTGCTACACTTCACTTTGAATACCATTCGGGAGGAACCAGCATTGGTAAGAACATGCTTTGAAGCGCCGCCAAACTCTGAACAGTTACCGAATTTCTTTTCAAAGCAACTCAGCGGTAATTTAAACATACCTATAAATTCCGCAAATGGTGGGTAAACATGCAGTTCCAATGGTGGCGGAACAGGAGGGGCGTCTCTAGAATACTTCGCTAAGTGCTTGGCCCTTTTCATTCACAGAATTTAGGTTTTGCTAGGGGATCAGGAACTAGATGCTTTATGTGTGCGTTGCAGCCGCCTCGTGTTGAAAGGCGAGTTAGCGCCGTGATTGCCGCGCGGCGTTCGCGCCCGATGTCGCGAGCGACGCTAATGACGGATTGCTGCACTATTGGTGTGAACAACCGGAGACAAAGACGGAAATCTTTGCGACAAATGAGGTGTGCAGCACACGGGAAAGTGATTATTGAATTTGACAGAGAAGAATGGCAAAGCAATATGCTGATTGGTTGAACCCAATGGACGCTAAAACGAATGTTTGGGTCAGTACGGTGATGACAAAGTTTGCGCGTAAAAAACGGGCATGGAGCGCAATGTTTGAAAATAAGCGATTCATGTTAGATTTTTTTATCTGGAAGTGTTGTCGGCACTACAAACATGTAAAAAGCCGTCATTTAATGCAATGATTAGAATGTGCGCTCCATGGCCATTTTATACGCACAAGTGTTGTCAATACCGCAAGGACACTATGTACCCCCTTAAATTTGTGAATATATATGTTTTCAATGACACATTACTGGAATTCTTCAAAAGCATACCCATGTGATATCAGAGCTGGAAATGTGCCCTATGGAAAAAATATGATTTTAAAAATATGGACCTGTCAGGTACTGGCTGGAGCATTGTGAGGTAATGGTGCAAGATACGCTGTCGTCTACATAACATAGAATCTGATTTTTCTACATTCCCGGAAATCAATTGAACCCAACATTCCAAGCACGAAAGGACATTCATTTTATGCGTTTTTCCCATTATGGAATTCAAACTATGAAAGAACACAAAAGCGGCTTAATAGCAAAATCGAAAATGTGTGCAATTTCACACAATTTATCTTTTTATTCCTTTCATAGGTCTGATAGGAGCTGCAAAGCGAAAACAAGAAATAAATTGGATTTTCTGCTGGTAAGTTTTTCTTGAGGTCTTTTCAACAGAAAATGCTTGATCAAACCGGCACTTTGCATCTTTTCTTTGTAAATGGCAGCTAATTGCTCTTTGAAGCCTCGCTAATGAAAGTCTACTTCTAATCCAGTACTAGAGCGAAGTATTTAGGAGTAAACAACATCAAAAGTACCTACTTTGGCGGATACGCGAAGAACTCCATTGGATCGACTTGACAGAAGCGATTTATTGACTTGTCCATGGCGCTTCTTCAATCTGATTTGGGGTTTGAATAGCCTAAAATTGGAAGATTACTAGTTTAGTATAGCGTGGGACACAATATAACATCATCAAAGTTTCGTTGTAAACATGGAGACTGCAGTTCTTTGGCTCATAAGGAGTTCTGTGCATTCCCAAAGAAAGAAAAAAAAAATGGTAAGAAAAACATTGGGAAGGTCTGTAGATCCGTACGCTTGTCAAAGCCTCTAGTATCGGAATAATACGAAAAGGATTTTGCCCAAAAGTAACCGCTTTACTTTCCTGTTCTCATTTGAATAGCCGTTGAGTGGTGCTAAATAACGCCGATCTCGAAAAGTGTTTGAAAAAAGTTAATGAACTCATTAAGAGAAGACTATGGGCTAGCCAGCATTGCCATCTCTTGATGGAGATTTCATGTGTTGAGAGGACCAAGAGAAATGAAGATGCGAAAGCATTTATCCACTTCCATTCCGAAAAACTCTTTTCATCTTATCCTTCTCCAAATAAATTCGTCCGGTTTTCTTAGCCTTTATATCGACCCATATTTTATGCAAAGCAGAATGTCGTACGTCATGATTTTACGGATGGCATTCTGCATTAAAAAAGATGGATGTTCCTCACACTTCCGGTAAATAAAGTGGAGAGTATGGTGAATATCTATCGAAAAAAAAGAACGAAAAACAAATTCAATATTTTATGCCTATTGCTTCCAATTACATTGTCCGGTTTTTGGGTAAAGACTTATAACGTTCTCAATAGCACAAAATAATTAAAGGATTTGATGCATTGAATCAAATTATGCTATGCATAAAAAATGAGATACTAAATTTCTTGTAAGGATGGCATGGAACCGTGAGTACCTATGACCGAATGCTCTCGTCCTCTGAACGAATCAAAAAAATTAATGGAGGATCTAGACTCTTGCAACCGTTTGGCAGATCCATTAAGTAGCAAGAGGAGGAGGGCGTAGATGAATGGAGTTGAAAGTGATTTGAATAAGTCATAAACTTTAAAAGCATGCAGGAATGCTTGGAAAATACCAGAAACTTTAAAGAATTTCTCGCAACTTGGTAACGCGCCATTTCTGTCGTCCCTCCTCCTCTTTAAAAATTTGCAAGACCATCTTCCAGCGATTTTCCTCTTGGGGAATAAACAACAACAAAATGAACAAAAATCATTGTACGCTGAGTAAAAAAGACCGTACGTTTGTAAAAATTGAAAAAAACTGAAAACAAGAGAGAAGGTCTTGTTAAGTTTTTACATAGCTCTAGACTATAAAATATGCCAGACAACAACTTCCCAAGTTGTGTAATCAAGCAATTCTCAGTCTGAAAGTCACAAAGCCAGCGCTAGGAAGTCAGCAATTATCTCGCCTCTGCAAGTAAATGTCTCTGGAGATTTGCCAACTCTTTGACGTCACAATAACGAGCGAAACCCGAAAAAAGACCCGTTCCATAAACAAAGGAGTTACTCGAATGAATCAAACTTGACGCAGGGGGGGGTCTTGTCAATGATCGCACGGCCTCCCGAATGCATGAATAGTTGTCGGGACACAATGTGAATAATTGAAAGCGCGCTATACATGTATCACTCGTTCTTTTTGGCCGAGATCATTGCTTGTCATTAATTTTGTTCTTGCACGGGGACTAATCCCATGGGCGAGGGAAAAGCTTTGCAATCTACCACTGACCGGCGTTTCGTAATCTTTGACTCGGTAAAGTTCTAGAAGGAGCTCAGTGAGGAATACTTCACAGCTAAGTTGAAAGAAATGCATAGAAAGTAGCCAGAGAGGTGGAATAAAATAAGGGGGTCCGATATCTCTGTAAACAGACATAAGGTAGGGTTCGGCCGTAATATTCCTGCAATTTCTAAGATTCTTTTGATTTTGCGATTTCTGTGATTCATACAAATCTTACGACTCCTGCGATTCCTGTGACCGCCATTATCCATGGAGCGCGGAAACTCTCCTCTGCTCATTAACTTGGCGACGCATTGAAACTGCACATTTTTTCTCCATTTTCAGTAACAAAGCAATGATTCCGTTGAAGCAGAGCAGAAGTGAGAGTAATGTGAGTGTTGTCCATCGCTGGACCTGTTTTGTAAAGTTAGATATTCCTGCGCTCTATGAATAACGAGAATCACTGAACTGCAGTGTTCACTCAAACCACAGAAATTCAGGAATCTCATTGTACAGTCGATTCATTTCATATGATCATGTGTGTCATTGCACACAAAATCCACCTTTGGCGCCGCCCTCATCCTGGATTTGCAATTGCGAAACGCAAGAGACTTAGCGATTATTATCGATTACATGAATTTGAGGTGATTAATACCTAAAAAGCAAAGAAATATAAATAAACACATTGAAAACACTTCCCCGAAGAGATGTTTCCTCCCAGAATCCAGGATGGGAACGCCAAAGGCGGACTATGTGTGCAATGACACACATGATCATATGAAATGAATCGAGTGTAATTGGAAGCACAAGAATTGCAGGGATGGTATAGCTAAACCCTGTCAAAAAAGGGAGGACGTAAAGGTATCCAGTCTACACCTCCTCCTCCTCACACCTACGAAAAAGTGGAATTCTAGCCTACGGGTATAAGCCCAGCCTACAAAGCCTACGCTGGGCCTATATCGTCATCTCTCCGCCTCTCAAATCTCAGCAAAGCTGACGAAACGGCAAACAGTGATGAGCAGGATTAAACGTGGGCTTTAACGAAAGCTAGGAATGAAAAAGCATATCCCGAGTGCCGCCTACGCGGATTACTGGTCTTCAAACGGTATGTAGCAGCATTTGCGAAAAGACCATCTATCCGCGGACAAGGCGATTATCAATGGTAAGATTGAACATACTCTGCAATTCTCTTCTTCCCTCTCTCAGCTCCATGACCATATTGGGTCACTTTATGACCCAGAATGTGCAAATCATACAACATTGCTCCCTAGTCTTGGTGAGGCTGGATCTTGTTCAAAACAAGGCGGGTTTCTTGGGAAGCTTCCAGAGCGTCTCTAACATTCTGGTTCTTTTCAGGATAAAAAAAAACATTATACGAGAAATTCCAAAAGTGTGTGCAAAACCTTCAACAGCATTCAATTTATGAGCGAATTGTAGACATGCGCCGTTTTTATAAGTTCTAGGCTCTCTCCAAGACTAAGGAAAGAGGGCCAGAAGGTTTTTGAGAATTTTTCACAAAAATTGTAATCATTTTATCCTTTGAGAACATCTTCCTTTTTTTTAAGTTCTAACAGTCAATCCTTATTTCACACTTGATAACAAACCAAAATTTCGGCTGCTAAAAACAATCACCAAGTTGGTGATAGCGGAGCTTCAACATTGCAATATTAGTGCAAAAGTTGCGATTAGGCGCAATGCACAAGAAGAAACGTTACTTCCTTATCTCACCTATTTCATTACATTTTTCCACTATGAAAACGATTTCCGCACATTTTCAGCAGTATCAATGAGATGAATTAGAAATGAAAAAAGAGTATTGCGGCAAGGAAAAATTAAGATTTAATTAAAATAGGTTGTTCAAAACCATGAGATATTTGAGATAATTCACACTTCAGAATTTGTCGATGATGCATACATAGCACAAGTTCCTCGTCCGCTAGGTTGTTGAATATTTCACTGGTTTGGAAATTTGCCACATGAGGTTCAAACGACACATATAAATTTTTGATATTTGCCCAAGTGGATCAAATACTAATTAGTAATGTTTTATTAGAGTTTTTAATGCCGAGCATTAAAAAACTGCATAAAACTGCTGAATATGATATTCAGCTCCACAAGTGCATCCGTATGCAGTAGTATGAAAATTCTGCCATTTCAAGAATGCTCGGCAATTCTGTTTTGAACAACTCTACGATTGTGAATACATTCGAGGTGCACCAGAATGTTAAAAAAACGGAAATAAGGTCCGGAGAAATGAAACCAGCCAGTCCTCAGCCTCAAGAAAAGATAATAGAGAGGGTACGGGTGGAAAAACATAGCACGACCATATGTTTTGAAATTGCATGCTTAAAAGAAAAATGATAAGAACAGTTACTTTTAGCAGCAATTATGGGAAGAGAGTAGATTTAAAGTTCCTCGAAAAAAGAAAAGTTGATTTTCCATGCCAAACAACATTTGCTGACACATTCTCTACCGTCTCTGAAGTAGGATGAGGATAAAACAAAGCGCTGAACCTTTATTGCTTGAGTTACGCCTTGAATTTATCAAAATAAATGTCATTATGGGGTCGAAACAAGGCTAGAGTTGCTATAGATACTCTTAAACTAATCTTATATATTCACTAGCTTCTAAGCCATTGATGAGCGAGATTCAACTAATTTGCCTTGAATGCAGCTTAGTGTAGCAAAAATAGAAAAAAGTACTGATGCAGTCACTGATTGTGGAGGTAATCATGAATAAAAATTTGGATAAAAATGTCAAGGAAACAAGCAGGAAGAACGTGGCCCTTCGAAATCTTGAAGAGGATGACATATGAAAGAGTGAATGTAATGAATAGAAACTCTCAGAACGCATCTGTGAGCCTCGTTTTCAACTTCCTATACTGGTAAGCTAAGAAAAGGAGTTCAAATTATAGCTGATTATGAACACTGAAATGTAAATAGATTCAATGGCGCATTTGGAAAGCATTTTCGATAAGTAAGGCTGAAAATGCCACAATATTACCATGGATAAGCAAAAGTATTCATTATGATGAATGATATTTACTATTTTTTTATTTATTTTTAGATTTATTTATTTATTCTGTTATGATATTTGGATATAAAATGTTGGCTATGTTATCATAATTCAACTCAAATCACTTTGAAAACAGCATAACGTAAATCAGAATGTCTGGACAGAATAGAAGGTATTCGAAGAAGGAGAATTTCTTCCGTATTGAGAGCAAAACACGGAACTTTCGGGTCGCAGCTGTCATTCCGGATATCGGCAACTAGCAGAACAGGCGCATTTTACGAATTTTAATGGTTCCCATGCTCTGCTTTTTATTTTTCAGGGAAGCGAGACAGGTCTTCTTTATTCTT